TCGCCGGCTATAGGAAGATGATGGCGTTGCCCGATTCACTGGCAACCTGGATGTAGACGTCAAATTCCCCTTCATTGCCGCTGAAGAGGATTCAGGCCCCTTTGTCAAGGCTCTGGTGGAAGAGCCCGCGGGCAAGAACGTCATCGCCTATAGAGAGTGGCTCACTATCCGGGAGGTTGCGGCCATCCTGTCCCAAGTAATCGGTATTCCGACCGAAGCTGTGCAGCTACCAAAGGGCCAGTCCAAGGTTACGGAGCCAGCTGAGCTCAAGTTGGAACTGGATGATAACTTTGCGTACTGGAGCGAATATGGCTATGAAGGGCGGGCTGACCCTACCATTATTCATCCGAGAGACGTGAGTAGCCTCTCTGTTTAAATCTCTGTGCATTGACGCTGACATTGGAGTTGCTAGTTGCCAACTCTGGGTAAGCTTGATACCGTGTTCAACTATTTCAAGAAGCAGGACTGGACCAAGCTGAAGGCTTAAACTGAAAGAGACGGATGCTATAGCCGTTTGTTCGCTGTTGGGCTTGAACATATTATAATCAGTCGAGTGGTCATTTTAGCAGATTGTCGAAGAAGTTTGTAGTCAGTGTGGAAGCAACTGAATGAATAGCGACTTTAGCCAACAGAGTCTATCCAACAAAAGCTTGTGTTGTGCACGCTTCAGGAACTCTTACACCATGAAACCAAGGCTCGCTCCTTGTACACCATTTCCCTTCTATACGGCTATGAGATTGGCCTACCTTGTGTATCGTCGGCGCCTCATAAATATTGTGCTCTTTCCGGCGGATAAAATGAATATACCACACATTCCACAGCCCCATATGTGGACAAAGCCGATAAAAGGAAGTTTCAGCGCACAAATTCCAATGACTTGCCCAAAGAAAAAAAAAAGTTGAACAGTGACAAAAAATTCGGGTCTCAGAATTCGTTCGACGGGACAAAAAATGAAATCTCATGACACCTGAGGGATTCGAACCCTCGCCTATTACTAGACCGCGAAGCAAGATAGATCCTGAACACGGCGCCTTAGACCGCTCGGCCAAAGTGCCTTTGATTGGTTGTTGTGTGAAGTGAGGCGACAATTTGATTTTGAAGCTGGAGTGGGTGGTGTGGGGACGGGTTTGTGTACCCTAGACCTCGGAGTTGGGAGGGCGGGAATTGGAATTGCGAGGGAATAATACAGGATGTGGAAAAGATGAATTGAAGAGATTATGGCTTGAATACTGCTGAGCATCTCATAACGAATGATCAATTATCACAGCCATTGTTGGAGTGGTTGTTGGAGAATAGACACTTCAGCTCAATAAAAACCTGAGGTGGAGAAATAGACCAAATAGCATTCAAGAGCACGCGACTGCATCTGATACAAAGCTCTACTGGTCATAGCTTAAGAAGAAGTATGTGTAATTCTACAATCGTTTTATTGCACATAGATGACTGCTTAATACGACTGGTAACTTGATCAAAGAAACACCTCCAGGCATATTGATGGACAGCCAATCCTGTACACAGCTTCCAACCGCTTGTTGGAATTCTATCCTTGAAATCCCGACCCAAGAAGTTGCAATGAACTCTCTGGACTAGCTACCTGATCTACCGGTCAAATCTTTGGTCCGCAACCTGGTGGCTTGGAAGACTCTTCGAAGAATTGGCAACGAAGAGAAAGAGAGACAAAAAACACCAAGTAACAAAAAGGCCAAAAAATGAAACATTAAGCTCCTCCGGGAAGGCTTGAACTTCCAACCTCCTGATTAACAGTCAGACGCGCTAGCCAATTGCGCCACAGAGGAGATTCGCTTGTTTCCGAACTACGTAAAACCACTATAAGAACGTTTCAGCAGATAGACAGACAAAGTGATCATCTCCAGAATATTGCGTTGTCATTGTTCCACAATCAGCTTCCTATTCCTGTTGGGGCTAGTTTTCCGACATGAATCATTGTCAAAAAATAATAGAGAGTTGAAATTGATAGAAATATTCCTAGGTACCTTCTAATGCAATTGTAGAAAGTATTTCCTTGATTGTTTTCATGTCCTGTCCCAGCATACCCAACCACCAACGCTCAACCATGCCTCTAGACACATATTTACCTGCTTTGTACACATATGAACAAACGCCGCCCGATAACACTCATCCCAACATCCTATGTCCCTCCTTGAGACAAATCACCTCTTGTACAAAGCAATATCCAATCCCAAAGGCTTCCTCAAGAAGCCCTCTCGCGTCTCCATAGGCCCTTGAAGAACCTTGGCACCATATCTCCTCGCCCAAGTAGCCGCAATCAGCTTCATCTCCATCTCAGCCACGTTTCTGCCAACACAAGCTCTGGGGCCGTGGCTGAAAGGAATAAACGCATCCTTCTGTCGCTGGGTCACATTTGCCCATCTGTCGGGGTTAAAGTCCTCGGCATCGGGGCCCCAAATCTCGGTGGAGTGGTGCATCGTGTAGGTGGGAACGCTGAGGACGGTGCCGGCCGTGAAGAACTCGCCGCAGATGGTAACGCCGGGAGACTCTGGGGGGACTTGACGAGGGAGACCAATGCCGGAAGTCGAGTGGTGGCGGAGAGTCTCGTTGATGACGGCGGCAAGGTAGGGCAGATCGCGAACCATTTCGAAAGTGGGAACATCGACGCCTTTGGGAATGGCGGCATCGAGCTCGGCCTGCATCTTGTCGAGGACGCCGGGAGTGCGGACGACATAGTTCAACAGAGCGCATGAAGAGTTGGAGGTCGTGTCACTGCCGGCGATGAGTTGAGTCAAAGCCTCTGCAGTCAGTTCTTCTCTTCCAAGAGGCTCGCCCTTGTCGTCACGGCCTTCCATCAACCGAGCGAGGAGATCCTTGCGTTCAACGTCGGGAGGGTTGTCGATGCGTCGCTTCACACAGGCAATGGCAATTCCGGCAAGGTTCTGGATGGCAGCGAGACCGTTGCTGTAGAAAGGATCCGGAAGGTATTTGGCATAGGGCTTCAAGGCCGGGAAGCAGCCCAGAGTTGCGCTCACTTCGCCGCGGCGGTTCAGAATCTCAATAGCGGGTGCGTAGATGGGCGGGCTGTCTGGAGCATCTCGCACTTCGGCAAGATCAACTCCCTTCTCGAGCATACCAAAAGGAGCGCCGAATGCAAGGTCGCCAATGACATCAAAGGCAAGATAGTTGAACCAAGGAAGACAGTCGATGCGAGCCTCCTTCTTGCCATCCTGGCCTTTGAACTGGCTAGTGTCGACCAGACGGTCCATCTGCTTGACAAACAACTCGAGGTTCTGGTGGATATACGGCTCAAACTGAACAATGGACTTTACGGAAAAGGTGTGAGAAACCATCTTTCGCTTGCGAGTGTGTTCAGCGCGGTCGCGCGTGTTGAAGAGGCCACGGCGAATGGAGACAAAAGCATCGTAAAATTCACTACTGCAAGTCAGCACCTGACGCATTCAAAGTCTGGAATTAGTGAGCCATACGACTTCAAGAAGCCATTGCTGTGGCCGTAGACGAGGTTGATGGCCTCGTCATCGGCAATGGAAACGTGGTTTGGCTGGATCCGCACAAACTTGCCCAGCTTCTTGTGCAGCTTGTCGACAGTAGCGTATCGATCGCCTCGACGACAGACTGACAAGAGCCAGAGATTCGAAAACTGCGCTGGAAAGGGAGCTGCAAACCGGCGCAGCGGTGCGTATGTGACAAAGTACTGGTAGAGATACGATGCGACCAGCGCTCCAGCAAGAGCAACAATCGCCCAGGGCGAAAGGGCATATTCAATCAGCGCCATGGCGGCGGTTGTCTTTGTTGTCTTTGAACACTTGGCGCAGTGATTGTTGCGAATGAATGAATGACTTGGCCAGGGAAAAAGATATAACGATGCGATGCTGCAGCTTTTTCTTGGTAGGGGAAAGCTCTCTATATGCAGTTTAGCCCCGGGGATGCGGAGACGGCGCCTCTTTTTGTCGTCAACGGCGCTGACCAACCGACGGCGGTAGGGCTTACAGCAATGGGAATGTGGTGGGATGCCCGTGATGATCGCTGGATGGAGATTTAACTTTTGATTCCGGCTCTCGTCGCTGACAGGCACAGCTCTGTCACTTGATGTCGATGGAGCACACACAACACCACGAATGTCCAGTACTCTACGATTCTTCGTTTCGAACCGGCCGTTGATATATATATACCAAACCCCAGCCAACCTTGAGCTAAACACACAACACCATCACACGCAGCCAATACCGTCTCCCATGAAACTAAACATCCATCGTGTCCTAGTCTCAAACCCCGCAATCTGCCCCCCCCAGACGCCATGGGGTAAATCGGTAGACAGTAGCGGCTTCTGGCATAGGCCCAGCTTTGGAATCCTCAAGTCTCCGTGTGTCGTGTCGCCAAATAGAAACAGGCACAAGGGCTGGCCGGTTTAGTTTACCCACCTTCCCGCAATGGAGGGGGGCTTGCTGCGATCGCTCCGAGGCCCCGAGGGATAGTTCCAGTCTCCGGCATACGGTGTCGGCAAACGAGATTCTCTACCTACTGTATGCTTTTTTCGAAGGTTTCTGGTTCCCTTCTCCCTCTTTGTTGCTGCCTCAGGATGGCGGGTTTGACTCCGCGGGTATTCCGTTCCTGGCCGTGTTTCTGCATGGAGAGGCAAAAATGAAAGAGTTTCGGTAAGGGAGAGCGGGAATGGCGAAATTGGTTATGCGTTGCGGCTGATTGGCTGCATTTCTGCGGCATACTCGATGTCCTGCTAACCGCAACCTCGGCGCCGCTGGGCTTATGAGAGCCATCTATGCTTCGTAGGGTAACCAGCACGTAGGATAAACAGCATGGATTACTGGGTAGTAGTATCGGGATTTTTTTTGGTAGTATGTAATCAATATTCCTGGATCCGTGTCGCAAAGGCAAAAAGGAGAGTTTTGTTAGCCAAGCTCACTGATACAAGACGGTGTGGCGAATATCCTGTATGAAGCCATCCCAAGTCGCGATACGCACATGTTATGACGCGCATTTCTGCAGTGATATTATGCATGATGGCATAAAGTATACACGATAGGACTTGATTCCATTTGAGTATAATCTACATAGTTTTCACGTGGAAAGCAAGATATACGGTAAGCTGATGTGATGGGTTGCGATACCAAAGTCATCCGCGATAAAGCATTCCACATCGTATCCACTGTGATGCTGTACAAGTCAGTTTGAGCACCATTCCTCCAGCTCAGCATTTGCATTTTCTCGTTTGCAGAATGAGGGACTTTGGACCACTGCTCATTAATTGCTCAATACCTCATTAACTCTTTCAAGCACACCGGCGAGATCCCGTTATGCCCGCATCATCCGGTTTTATCGCCAAAACACTCCGGAGCGAAGTATAAGGAAATCTCACCCAAAAATAGTCCCCTCCCCTATTATGCAGTGCAGCCTTTTCTTCTGCCGAACTTAGCATCCGTATCTTAGTTGGTGGAGTCGCCGAGTCACGTCCTTGGAGAAGACTCCGCACCTGAACCACCTTCGGCCCCGGTTCTCCAACTCCTCCCTTCCGAGCTCCTTATTATCTTCGTCATATTGTTCCTCCCCTAGGAATCGCCTACAGGCGGCTTCTTCATCGTCAACGTCTTCCAGAACTTCCATTTCCCCTCCGCGGGCGAATTCCAGTACTTCGGCCGTTGGGAACATGACGTAGTCCAGATGGTCAATCACATTCAAGCACGAGTCTGTCATCTCGTCTTCTTCGTCTTCTTCTTCTCCTTCAACCATGACACAATCTCCTAGTTCATTTCCCTGATTGTGGTCTTTTGGGCCTCTGTTTTCCTTGTTGCTCTCGATGTTCTCGTCTTCTGTTCGGAACACCGGCAGGCTTTGCTCATGGCGGCATGATGTCCCTCTTTTGCCACTCTGAATTCTTGCATCCAAGATCTGAAAGTAGGCAGAAAATGTCGCGTCTTGTAGACTGATTTGGCCGTCATGCACCGGACTGAGGGAAGAAGATGGTTGTCGCGTTGCTGACAGGCGTGGACTGACATGATCCGAGACTAAAGGATCAATTCGATCGTCGACCCCATTGAATACGTAATCACTAAAGTCGATGCAGTATCTTTCAATATCGTCTACAAAACGATTCTCATCATTACCATCATCATCGTCGTCGTGTTCGTCATCTCCATCATCGCCAGAGTCATATGGTGGCGGTATGTGTGCGTTGGCAAGTGTTCGTCGCGGCCTCTCTGACTGCTGAGGGGGAAATTGGTCGTCATTATCATTTACTCGTTCCTCTTTGCTGGGATTTGTCCACGCAGAGTTGGAAAAGAAGCCACTAAAAGTGAATGGAAAGCTTCGTGAGACTTCTTCCGCAAGAAAATCGCCATGACTATTTAATGTTTCAGATCTTGGTCTTCTGAATGTATAGATTTCACCCACGTACCTAGGTCTCCACGGCAACTCCATTTCACCAGTGTCTTCAGCGATATGGTCTCGATGGTGGGTTATTTAGTCTGTGTATCGACTCGCAATGTGCAGCTATCTGCTGGAGTTTGTCAGCTTTCGTGCGTGTATGGCTCTCCAAGATGATGACCGTGGCACACAAAGAGCCAAAAGATTCAAGTCTATCAGCAATGCTGACTTGCAATGCTTGCCTCACGGCACTGATGATGATTAAGTCGATTGCAACAATCCCTTGAAGCTTAACAACGACATAGACCTCTCATCTCTCTGCCATCTGTGCAGGACAAGAGTTCGCGATGTATCTCGAACGCGGTCGAAGAGCGACGAACATAATCCGGCAAGAAGGAAACCTGGGCAGTTGGACTTACTCTGAGGAATTGTTTTCCTTCAATCGAAACGGTGATGACTGGAGCAAAGGTTGATGATGCTTTTGCTTCTGCAGCAGAATAGTTGCAAGGAAGTGAAATCGCAAAAGAGAAAGAAAAAAGCAAAAATGGCATGGAGAGATCAAATTCACATAGCCAAGGTGGCTAGAGGAAAAGTTCAGTTGAAGCAAAGCGAGAATGAACGCTGGCCAGCCGTCATCAATCCGGTGTGACAGCTGCCGTATTATCTGAACAGCCCGCGCCCAAAGCATGGGAGTTGGTAACACTGTTGAACACTTCGAGATCATGAGCTGTTTGTTTCTTCATCTAAAATATAGTGTCGGAAATCATGACTGAAAATCCTTACGTTGACATGCTATACAATATGGCCCTGGTTTGGGACCAGTTATTGCTGGAAGCAACTCGGCAGTCTTTTTCAGTCTGGCAAGACAAAGGCTGCAAATCTGTGCACCAGTTACGTAGAATTGAAGAGGGAACGAAGTACTTCAGACATCATTTGACAAATTGCCAAAATAGCTAGGAGTGATAGAATATACATCTAGTTTCGCAATGGGGATTCAACAAGATCGCGATGTGGATGGTTACAATGGATGCTGCCTCTGCTTTACACCGACCATGCCATGCGCGTATCAAGTACAAGTAAGTTAGGATGAAGTCAGAAATAATAGCATTCTTGTTCATTGGAACAAAAAAGTCTTTTTTTTTTTTTTTTAAATAATATTATTTCCCCAGGGAGCCCAGTTCTTTGATGCATGTATTTTTGGCACCCACACTTGACTCTTCTCTTTCACTCTTCATAGCCCATCATAACCTTACGCGTTCAATCCTTTTCTCAGCAACAAACTAATCTGCGCAACGCTCTCCTCCGTTGTCTTCTGGCTCGCCATCAGATACAGCACGTTTCCAAGAACTCTGCAATGCACGTTCCACGAGCCATTAACGCCCTCCGCATCGCCCGCAATGAGGCCATCCCGAAGACTCTGCGCAGCATCGCTAAAGTATCCCGTGCTGCCCGCTGCATCCTTGACATGGATAGCGAGAACGCTTCCGAGAGCCCAGATTCCAGCTACCCGATCTGTCTGACGAGAGAGATCCTCCACTAGATCTCGCGGCCAGGTTGACCAGATGTCTGCCGCGGGCTGGCCACTTGCGGAAGAAGAAGAAGCCTCAGGGGTTGTCCAGCCTTGCGACTTGGCCCAGTTCCAAGATCCGCTGTGGTCCATCCTTTGTAGTTCCTTGACGGATTCTACGGCGACCTGGCAGCCTACGGGATGAGCCGTGTAGCTGTGCCCGTGAAGCAGTGCATCAGTCTTATCCGGAGAATTAAATGTCTGGAAAATATCCTCCGAAGCAAGCGTCGTGCAGAGCGGAACCAGACCTCCAGTTAGAAGCTTCGCATGGACTGAGATGTCGGCATACGTGTCAAGGAAAGAAGACGACGTGAAGCGGCCAAGACGGTAGAGGCCAGTAAAGACTTCATCGAAGATGATGGGAAGGCCAGTCCATGCGGTGGGACTGCTGGGAGATTCTTCGATGGGCGCATTTGGCTTGCGGAAGAGGTCTGGAGATTTGCGAACAACGTTGACGAGGGCGCGCTGGAAAAGAGGATCTCTGCACAGCAGTGAGTTAGCGATAGGTCTCGTGTCTGATAAAACTGTTAGAGAGAGATGCTTACACCAACGCCATGCCTCCAGCGCCGAGGACAACTGGTTCGATAATGACAGAGCCAAAGCGACGGCCTTGCTTCTGGAGCTTCTCCAGCGTCTCTCGGATAAATGCCTCGTATCGAAGATGGTGGCCCTTTTGTTCTCTACCACGAACATCAAAGATTTCCGACAGTGAGCCAAAGTCTGCGTCTTCGCCCAAAGCTTGCCTTAGCTCTTCAGGCACATTCACACGCCACCTGCCGCCGACGCACAAAACAGTCGGGTAGTCAAACCAGTGCCCTTTGCCATCATACCACTCGACCTTTTCGTTATACCCACTCGGCTCCGAGCAGTCCATGGCGCCAATGGTATCGCCGTGGTAAGAGCCCTTGAGGCCAACAACGCCGAGCTTCTCCTCTGCGGCCCATCCATATCGGAGCTTGGCTGCTCGGAGACCCATCTTGAGAGCAACCTCAATACCAGTGCTGCCATTGTCAGAGAAAAAGACTCGAGAAAGTCGCGGACTGTTCATCCCCTTGAGCAGTCTTGAGGATAGTTCCGCAGCGGGACGATGGATACCGCCAGCGAACATGACGTGGCCGTAGCGACCGGCAGCGTAAGCGGCAGCAAGAGTGAGCTTGGGATTGGCATGGCCGAGACCTTGAGTCCACCAGGATGCAGAACCGTCGAATGAGGCTCGGAGAAGGCTATCGGTCTGTGATGTTGGAGAGGAAGGGGCCAGCGTCTGGAAGTAGTCGCCGTGGGCTGAATCTATGACATTAATGTCCTTTGGAGTAAAAAGACTGTGCTGAGCAAAAGGATACCATATGTTCTGCAGAGCTTCGGTTGCCATGGAATTGAGAGATGCAATACGCTCCTCGTGACGGCTATCCAGGTGGGAAATAACGTTGTTCGTGTTTCCATCCTGGGATTGCTCTTCATAATATTGCGACATTGCTCGGACATCCTCCTCGAGGTTTGATTTCCTTTCCGGCGGCTCAACCACGCCTGCGACAGGCACGTTGTGATGCTCCGCAAAGTATTCTGACAGATAGGCAAAGTTCTGATACTTGTCCTCCTTGAACAAGACCACTGATTCAACATCATATCCTCTCATGCGTAGTGACTCAAAGGCCGATATCGTCTGAGAGATGCCTCCCAGGCGAGAATCGCCCACAAGAACAACTGGCAGTCGAAGGGGTGCGTATAGATCTGCCTGGGTTGTGCCTGAGGGGCCGGGAGAGTGAACGCCTCCTGCGGTTTCGACAAACAGCCATTTCCTGCCTATGTTGGCGCATTGAGCTGCGTAGTCTCGGCATTGGAAGAGAAGAGTGTCGTTGGAGGGAATTGTCTAAGACGAAAGATCGCACAGTGAGATGGGGATTTGAACAAGGTGAGATGCTTCTTATGAAGCTGTGATTACTTACGGTATTGGAGACCCGAGCTGCAATGTGTGGGCTGACTGGGATTTTATACTGAAATAGAGTCTTGTTGGAGACATCCGAGGCGAATTTTGAGATGTGACTACACGGATAAGGAATTGGTCAACAACAGCAAACCACTATCAAATCTCAAGTGTTGGATCAACATCTTCATCATCTACCCATGTGTTAACCGCAATTCTACAAAACACACACTCTCTCGCTTGACAAGGACCATCACCTACACCGATCATCAGCCTCGCTATCCGGCCCCGTCGAAACCGGCTTCAGAAACGCTACGCCGCCAGGGTTCCGTCTCGCAGCAGCCTTGCACAGCAGCGTCGAGAAGACCGTCTTCCCCACCTCGGTATTGGCACCAAAGATCTGGTACGATCGCAGCGACCGCCAGAGCGGCGATGCCAATGGCGGCGGCGGCGGCACCGGCATATCAAACGAAACGAACAAAAAGAAGAGAGACTAAATTGATTATTCTGCTAGACAAATCAACAAGCCCACAAGAGGGAGAATGGGCTGTTCTTTTGTTCAACTTCAAAGAGCCTAGAAACGAGATACTGTTGGAGGGGGAGTGAAGAGCCGAACATGGAATGTGGAATTACACCCAAAAGGGTAATGGGCGGGATATGAACAGCTTCAAGCTTCCCATCTCACTTTAATTTTTTCTTACAGTTTCTTTTGTTGGGGGCCTCTTTGCCGATCTCCGTTCACCCCTCCTGGGAGTGGAGTTTGACTTTTTGAGCCGAGAAAGAAACTAAACAGAAAGCTACAGTACAAGCTCCCAAAGCTATCGATCGATCCCGGGCCGGCTCAATGACACAAAACTCGAAATCCCTCACTTGTCCCCCGGCAACTTTTAGTAAACATTGAGCCTTGGTCAAAACCCAACCGGGTCTCCGCGGGACGACAGCTTGTCTTGTCACATTTGCCCCAACACGGACAAGCGGCAATTCAATCGTTTTACCAATTGATTAGATTACGGTATTGGCAATTTTTGGTGAACTGCGAGATTGACAGCCGAAGTGGATGTGGATATTTGGGGGGGTTTTCCTAGTTTAGACATGTGATGGGTGGTTGATGCATTTTCTGCATGGGACGCCGATACAGGCCGCGATTGACTGCATCTCATGTTCGGCTTTGTCTATCTATGAACTAACCAGTTGCGTTCACAGCAAAGGCGTGCATACAATTGATCTACATTGAACAGTAACAGTATAGCAAACATTCAGTTTGAAGGATTCCTCCAATTGAATTCGATCAGCAACTCCAAACAGGAGAAAAAAAAAAAAGTCATGCCTCCCAACCTCGACAACACCCTCGCCGCAATCCTCTCATCCCGCCTCTCCCAAGGCCGTCTCCGCCGCCTCACCATCCCCTCATCTGATTCTGTCGATTTCTCTTCAAACAGCTATCTCTCACTATCCTCCAATCCCGCCGTCAAAGCCGCCTATGTGTCATTCATCCTGCCCCATCTGCAGTCATCCAGCCCCGAAGCCGGCTTCGGCCTCGGATCCGGAGGCTCTCGCCTGCTAGACGGCAACTCAGCCTTCACAGAGGACCTTGAAAGAAAAATCGCCGAGTTTCATGGGGCGGATGCAGGATTGCTGTTCAACTCAGGGTTTGAGGCTAATACAGGGCTGTTCGCTTGCGTGCCGCAAAAGGGAGATGTCATTGTGTATGATGAATTGATCCATGCGAGCGTCCATGATGGAATGAAGCTAAGCAGAGCGCAAAGAATCGCCTTTGCGCACAACAAAGTATACGATGCAGCTACATCAAGCAAATACCCTAGCCTAGACTCTCTGTTGAAAAGTCTAGCAGAGGATACCCAAGTATCAAGCGGCAAGAAAAACATCTTCATCGCTGTTGAAGGTGTATACAGCATGGACGGAGACCTCGCACCGTTACAAGAAATCGTCGAATGTGTAGAGAAAAGACTACCGCAGGGAAACGGCTACGTGATTGTCGACGAGGCGCATTCCACGGGGATATTTGGTCGGCAGGGAAGAGGTCTCGTTTGCCAGCTTGGACTAGAGGACAGGATATGGGCTCGCGTACATACTTTTGGCAAAGCCATGGGCTGTTCTGGCGGTAAGTTTCTCTTCTTTATCTCGCCAACTTTTCCCTTGATTTGTATAGATGCTAACAAGAGCTTCATAGCCATTGTCCTCTGCTCGTCCACGACAAGATCTTATCTCATCAACTACGCCCGCAGCTTCATCTACACCACAGCCATGGCCTTCCCCTCCCTCGCCAGCATACGCACAACCTACGACTTCCTCGCCCAAGGCCACGCGGACTCTCTCGTCCAAAACCTCCAATCACTCATCCACCACATGCACACACTTCTCACGCAGCTCATTGAACGACATGGTCCATCACCAGAACTGTTCCGCATCAACCCCGAGGCACCGCAGTCACCTATCCTGCCGCTGCTTACGAGCCGGGCAAGGAATCTGGCGCAATACTGTCAGGAGAGAGGCTTCACTGTGAGGCCGATTGTAGCACCTACAGTTCCGGCAGGACAGGATAGAGTGAGAGTGTGTTTGCATGCTGGGAATACGGTAGAAGAAGTGGAGGGACTGTGTAGGGCGGTGGAAGAATGGGTTATGAGCGCTATAAAAAGTAAATTATGATGATAGAGACATGTATTTGTATAATAAGTGTATGTAAATATTTATATATTGATGGTAAAGCCTCACTAGGGCCGTCCTCACGCCATCTTTCCTGTAACAATATTTTTCCGGGCTTTGCTTTTCATTTATTTTTTCTCATAAGACATCTAAAGATTTTAACTTAGACCTCCACGGGCTTCTTGTCAAAGCTCTTCATGGGCTCCAGTCCCCATCGGCCAAACATGGCGCTGTCCTCGTCCCAGCCATTGCACTCCGTCGTCAACATCTTCTCTCCAGTGAAGATGGCATTGGCACCAGCCATGAAGCACAGCGCCTGCTTCTCCTCCGACATGGTCTTGCGGCCAGCAGCAATGCGGATGATGGTCGCGGGCATCAGCAGACGAGCCGTAGCGATGGTGCGCAACATGCTTGTAAAGGCAATGGGCTCGCGATCGCCAAGAGGCGTTCCCTTGATGGGCACCAGAGCGTTGACGGGGAAACTCTCAGGGTGCTTTGGGAGTGTAGAAACAGTGTGCAGCAGACCAACACGGTCCTCAGATGATTCTCCCAAGCCGAGGATACCGCCAGAGCAGACGTTGATGCCGGCATCGCGAACGTGTCCCAGCGTAGTCAGGCGCTCGTCGTATGATCTAGTCGAGATAACAGACGGATAGAACTCGCGGCTGGTGTCGACGTTGTGGTTGTAGGCAGTCAAACCAGCATCCTTAAGCTGACGAGCCTGTTCGGCATCAATCATGCCCAGCGTGACACATGCCTCCATGCCCAGAGCCTTGACACCTTTAACCATCTCGACAACGTTCTTCAGGCCCGACTTGCGGCCGCGCATGTCTCGCCATGCGGCGCCCATGCAGAAGCGCGTGCTGCCGTTGTCACGGGCCTGACGGGCTGCCTCCAGCACGGACTCGACCGATTCCATCTTCTTGGCCTCGAGGCCCGTGTCCTTTGAGTAGCGCGACGACTGGGCGCAGTAAGAGCAGTCCTCGGAGCAACCTCCAGTCTTGATGTTCATCAGGGTGCATAGCTGGACTTCGCCAGGGGCGTGGAAGCGACGGTGCAGTGCTCCCTGTTGAGCAATCAATCGTCAGTTTTGGTTGTCCAGTATCAAATTCATGTAATTAATTGGTCGCAGTCTTACCGATTGGTACGTCAGCTCCAGCAGAGGCTGGTAGTAAATGGCGGCAATCTCCTCCCTGGTCCAGTTGTTTCGCGGCTTCGTCGCTGCCACCGCGTCTGCAAGCAGCTTCTTCCCATCCAGGCCCGATTTCTGCTGCTGCGGGGGAGGGGGAGGGGCAGCTCCAAAGTTGAGGGGAGTCTCGACGGCGGTGCTGTGGCTGCGGCTGTTGATTCTCACGGCTGCTGGAGCCTGCCAGAGCGGCCGTGAGAGGGATTGGGCCAGTCGCCCAGCTCTGAGTGTTGTCGAAGCCCTCATTGCTGCTGTGATGGGTTGTGTTTTTGGAGTTGCTGGCTGTAAGAGTTGAAGAGCAACAGCTGAGACAACACTCCGGCTATAGCGACAGCACGAACTCGGAGCTAGTTTCAACGGGATAGACGGCTGATTGATTGGCTTCGGTTGAGAGTGCGCACTTGAGCTTGCCGAGCTGCGGATCCCAGCTGTATGTACTGTAAATCGGAGGCGTCAGACTCGGCCCGGGGAGGAACAGAGAGGAACAGAGACAGATTCACAGCAACGTTGCTCTACTCCGTACTGTATTTCCTATCCTATCCCGTCCTATCACTACCAGTCACAGACATAACTGCCCTGTAGCTGTACAGTATTAGCTCGAACAACTTAAAAGACGCTGCTAATACTCTCCAATCCGCTGCATTGGCTTACCTTCTCGGGACTCCGCATTGGCGGCTCATCACCCAGCGGGGCCTCAACTATTCGCACCGTCTGTCATTTTGTTGGGCTGGCCCTTGCTGGACAGTTCCTCGAACGGCATAGCACAATCTGTCTAGCCGGTGTCATTTAGATGCGTAACACGATTCGAATCGGCTGCCGCGCTAGTTCTGCGTTCTGCAATGATGCGATGAATGTGATGGGCAGAAGAAGAAAAGGGCCTCGGCAGGGATTCGTCATTTCGGGGAGTTCAAATCCCAAACGCGGGTGGCTTCGGTCCAGCTTGAAGCAGCAGCTCGGCACAAGCAAAAGCAACGCAAAGCAAAAGAGAGAATTCTCTGTGGCCTTGGGGCGGCATAAGGAGGATTGAAGATCCGTCGTCGCAAGTCTTCCGTTGTGCCGGAGAGGGTGGAAACTGCTGCTGCACAGACCAGAAAGATGGAACGAAGTGCTGAAGAAAAACCCGCTGCAGTCCGGATGATTTCAGGCCCGAATCTCAAGCCACTCTTAAGTGTCAACTCGCAAAACAAAGTAAATAGTACGGAAATTCCTGCAGTTTGGATTATTCACCATGAACAGGTTCGAGGAAATATGATTCCAAATCTCAGTCAGCAAATGCGGCACAGGAGTCTCCAAATCTGGTAAATGGTGCACCTGCAGCCACTGCCGGAGATTTATTTTGGTTCTGAGTCATGCCCGCCATCTGCCATTTGATGGATACTGGACAACCCAGATCGAGCTGAGAGCATCTCTTGAAAGACGGATTTTGGAATCATAGAGTCTGTTCTATGTGCTGCATTTGTGAGGGTTGAATTGGCGATGCATCAATCTTCGTCTTGACAGCATCAACTATGCCTCGATGCTATTCCATCGATATTGTTTGAGCTTCAAGTCTCTCATGATGCCTGTTGCTCTACAACCGCGTCAAAGCGACAGCCGAATCCCCCAAAACCCAGCTGCATTCCCCTCATGCAGCGATTATTTACCTATACTCACTACCAATTACCACATCTCTGCAACTATTTCCGAATCTCGCAACTGCTGCCCTAGCCCATGGCGTCATGCGCCTCCATATAGCGAGCTTGCGGGGTCTCGCACTTTGATGCTTAGCTATCGCATACTGACAAACCCATTGAAGGCTGGAATGACACAATGCGTACTGTAGCTAGTAGTCCTGTCACGCAACTTTAAAATCCTGGGCCCTGGATTTCTATATAGATCGCGCTGTTGCACGTCACGTCTGGTCATTGTCATTGTTTCTATTATTTCAATCCTAATCTTATTCACCCAGAATCTGTAAATAAATCATCATCAATACATATTTGCTGCCATCATGCCTCTTCCTGGAGCTTCCGGATCAGAGTATGTCACTGCTTACACTCTCATCTCTCACCTCTAACCTCACCACCTCATCACCAACACAACTCTTCACATTGAAATCACCAGCTAACTCTTTCTCCTCCAGCCTCTCTGAGCTCGCAACCCACCTCCTCAAACAAGGCCCCAACAAGGTCCTCCCCACGCCTCGCCGCGTCCGCATCGTCTTCAACCACGTCGTCATCGTCGACACCACCAGCGCCTCTCTCGTCTGGGAGCACGATTATTACCCCCATTACTACGTCCCCGAATCCGAGATCAAGAACGCCACCCTCAAAGATGTCCAGCCCGTCAAAGGCGAGGCCGATGCCTCCGCCCGAGTCGCCGTTGCCGAGCTCACCGTCGCCGGGAAAGACGGCATCCCTACGAAGACGACAAACCGGGTCGTGAGATTCGACAGCAGCTGGGGAGAACTCGCAGGACTGGTGAGGATAGAGTTTGCAGCGGCGGGTGAGTTTTACTCCCTTTCTCCTCTTCATCATCCTTTATATACTAATATTCATCCCCGTCAAAAAAGACTCCTGGCTCGAAGAAGACCTCCCCATCTACGGCCACCCCAAAGACCCCTTCAAGCGCATCGACATCCTCCCATCCACCCGCCCCATCGAGGTCCGCATCGCCGGCAAGACCGTCGCAAAGGCCTCCTTCGCAAACCACCTCCACGAGACCGGCCTCCGAGTCCGCTACTACCTGCCCCTCGGCGCTGTCGATCCCGCCATCCTCCGCCCTAGCACAACTACCACTTACTGTCCTTATAAGGGAACCGCTGAGTACTACGACGTTGTTCTTGATGGAAAGGAGTACAAGGATATTATTTGGTACTATAAGTCGACTATTCATGAGAGTGCGGCTATTGCTGGACTTGTATCTTTTTACAATGAGAAGGTGGAGATCTTTTTGGATGGCAAGAAGGTGGAGTAAACTGTTTATGGGATTTGCATCACAACGATGGGAGATATGAATCACTTTACTCACTTATGATCTAACGACTTCAGGATTGGATATTGGTTGAAAATAATGACAATACGAGGCTGGGGAAGAAGGAAAACAGATGCTGCCATGACCTCGGACTGCAACGTCTACAGATTCAGAATGAAGCATTGCAGTTTAATATCCTTCTCTAGAAATTTATTTATATTACAAGTACAAGTAACCCATTTTCTCATATCATTCGCCATCATCGTGTATATCCAAACCATTACCCGAAGAAAATACCACGCAGGAAAAGGACGTTATATCTATTAGAGGACCAAATGTTCAATCGCACGAGATACCCTCTGCGTCCATACTTACATTCACCATCGTCGACTAACAGCCGTCTTCTTCACATACAGCTGCAGCCTATTTCCAGCACCACAGTATTCCGTAGAGTTTCCAGGGCACACAACATTACACTCATCAATCGTCACATTCTTGCCCGGCGTAGAGTCTTCCCAGCCGGCGAGATTCAGAGTATCGCCACACCAACACTCTTGGCCATACTCGACACCAGCGTACTTGTATTGAGCACAATGAGAAAAGCAGACCTGAGGTGTCATGGTCGTGTCGTTGTTGTAGGCTTGATTGTCCATCAGCTTGCCTGCCGAAGGCTCTGAGAAACATCCATAGAAGGTAAAGTTCTTGTTGCCCTGGAAGATGATGGGATCTGTAACACCACTAGGAGTTGTCGGGGTACTAGATGGTTCACTAGGCGCCGTTGGACTGCTAGATGGTGATGCAGTTGTTGTGGCATTCGACAAGAGCTTGTACAGCTCGAGTCTGGATCCAGCACCGCAAAATTCCTTGTCATTACCGGCGCAAAGGAACGAGCAGTCGTCTTGATTAGCAGCCTTTTGGCTGCCTTCCTTCAAGACATTGCCACAGTAGCACTCTCTACCGTACTCGGTTCCAAAGTAAGTGAAGCCTTTGCAGAAATCAGCGCAAGACTCGAGTGTCATCGAGTCGTTGGCATACATCTGCTCAATGATGGCTCGATCATTCGGCGGCTCCTCCCAGCATCCCTGGTATGTGTAACCTCTAACATTTTTCTTGATAGCGGGGCCAGTAGGAGTTGCAACAGCTGTTGTTGATGAACTGGCAGAGGCAGTGGTTGGCACAGTGGTTGCGGGCACAGAGGCTGTGGTGGACAACTTCTTGAGCTGGTACACATTGAGCCTGTTCGGACCACCACAAAACTCTGTTGAGTTGCCGTTACAAGTCATGCCGCAGTCCTCAATAGGTGCGGGAACAGACCCCTTTCCAAATGAATTATCGCACCAACATTCCCCGCCATACTCGAGGCCGGCATAGGTGTAGCCGTCTGTCTTGCACGCATGGAGACAGTCCGCGACCGTCTGGTTGGCTGTCTCAATGAAATTGGATAGAGCTCGAGCGTCTGTTGCTTCGGTATAGCATCCGATGCTCTTGTAGCCATCTTGCCCGGGATTAACAACGGGACCAGTCGGCGTCGGACTGCTAGAGGAAACACTCGTTGTGGTTGCAATTGCCGTGGTGCTCTCATCTGGAGGAGAAGCGGTTGTGCTTTCATCAGGGGGAGAAGTAGTGGTGCTTTCGGCCGGAGGAGAGGTGGCTGTACCAACAGTGGTAGAAGCCGTCGTGGACACAGTAGCAGTGTCGAGTTTATACACGTTGAGACGATTCGGGCCGCCACAATATTCGGTAGAATTGTCATTGCAAGTCATTGCACAATCTGCGATGGGAGCAGAAACAGCTCCATCGCCAAAGGAATCACCGCACCAGCACTACAACACAAAGTTAGCAAACCTATCATTGAAACCGGTGCTATTCAAATTACTCACCTCGCCTCCATATTCAACGCCAGCATAAGTGTAATGACCAATTTTACAGGCGTCAACACATTGAGCCACAGTCTGCTTATCAGTGTCCACTTCGTGAGGAAGAGCACGCGTGTCGGTGGCTTCAGTGTAGCATCCAACGCTAGCATAGCCATCAACGCCGGGATTCACAACAGGGCCTCCGGTTGGTGGTGGAGGATTCGTGGAGCCATCTCCCGGTTGAAGGGCATCGGCAAAAACAGAGATATACGCCGCAGTGCCATCGCCGTTTCCACCGCACACCTGATTGATATCTCCACCGCAGTAGTAATTACAGTTAGAGTCGTCCACCTTGAGATTGGGAATGGTGTTGCCTCCCCAGCACTCTGTATGGTATTGAGTGCCACAGTAGGCATAGTTCTTATCAGCGCATGCAGAGACACACATGGCGTTGGTGCTGTCATCACTTCCGTAAAGCTGGTTGGAAAGTTGGCGGCCTGGGTTGTTCTCCTTGTAGCATCCAATATATCGGTATCGGCTCTGGTCGCTGTTGGGTAGCAAAGGGGGAGCCTGCTCTGACACAGCCTGACAGAAAAATTGTATAAACTGCTTCCCGAGGTTCGGGTCATTGGTGTTCAAAGTCCATTGTGCAGTGCCGTTATAAGGATCGACATCCCACTGGGATTTGGGGACGGTACAGGTGAGGGTGGCGTTTGCACTCTCTCCTGGAGCCAAGGATGTTCCCTCTGCAAGGTCTACCTGATTAAGGGCTCGAACAAGGCCGGTGACGCCAAAAGGTGGCTTTGAAACGGTAAGAGACAGGTTGACACCGCCCTTTGTTGCATTGTTCGTAATGCGGAACTTGAGCGAGCGACCATTGTTCTGGGTAACATTTCCAAAAGTAAAGGGAGTGCCATTGACATATTTAGTCCAACCAGATTCATCAGGGGTCTGGAACTCAAGCAGTGCAACGGCAGCAGGGCCAGAAGAACCAGCGATAGAAACAGTTTGGTTGCCACCGTTGGATACAAACGTGACAAAGCCGGAGAAAGTACCGCTTTCAGAGCCATCAAATTGAATTTGGATAGCGACACTCGATTGAGGTCCGAGAGAAGTAGGCATCTTTTGGAAAGTAAACTTCCCGACAGTCAAATTGCCCGAACCATTCCATGTTTGCCAAGGGCCAGAGGAACTAGTTGATGAATACTGAACGCTCTGGATAGTCAGAGGTCCATTTCCAAGATTGTTGAGTATCAGAGTTTCCGTGACGCCGTCGGGGTCCTGCCCAGTAACAACACCTTGGAAGGTAATCGTTGTTGGGGCAGCAGACAGTAGAGGACCAGGGCTTTGGCCAGTTCCAGTCAGTCGGGCGTGGGTATTGGGGCTGTAGCCGCCAACACCATTCGTGGTGTTAACGACAATATCGTTTGAAATGAGTCCGACGACGGTAGGGCTGAACTTGGCTTGGATAGTAAAGGACTCCCCTTCTGCTAATTGGAGAGGTGTATTGGGAAGACTGGATATGCTAAAGTCTTTGGTAGAGTCAAGTCCAACACCAGTAACGGTAACGTCAATCAGGGCTGTGCATTCAACAGACTGGGAAGTGCTAGATGTTTTTAAATCAACATTGCCAAAGGCAATAGGAGATGTGCAGTTGAGAGGTGCGTTAACGGGCGATCCGAAACCATAGAAAAGGCCCTGGTTGGTACCAACGTACACAATGGCATCTCCAAAGACAGGTCGGGTGAACTTCATGACGCCAGGGATGTTGAACGAATTGATCATATTGAGCAGGCCATTTTTGGGGACGGCGTCGTAGATGCGGAGATTCAAACCTTGAACATCTGTCACCCAAAGGAGGCCAGTTCCTGGCTGGCCGTTGAGGGACGTGGTGGTTCCATGGCTGACGCCGAGGATGTAGGCATTCGTTTCGGGAGTCGTGGCAACTTTGGTAAACGAAGGAACGCCATCGGTACATGAAAATTTGAAGACATTGGACGGGTGCTGAATAACGTTGATGTAGATGTAACCGCCTTCTAGAGGATAGACACCTGCGCCAGCGTAGACGGAGTTGTCGTTCTGGTAGACTTGAATAGCATCATCCAAATTGTTGGGCCCGTTTCTGTAGCCACCCAGGTTATCCAAATTTAGCCAGTATGTCTTGCCACTTTTGCCGGTAACAACACCAATGCGCTTTACATCGCCACAAGAAAATTCGCCCGGTAGAATTTCGAGAGGACTGGTGCCGAGATCTTTATCGGCGCCATCCAAAGCCTGTTTCTCCCATGGCATGAAGAAATCTACCAGACTCAGACTACCGTTTGAATTGATTGTCATGTGAACAGCAGCCTCTTCCAACGACGTGGGAGGATTGAAGCCCTTGACAGGAACATTGGCTAGTTGAGACGCGTAGCCGTTTCCAGTCGCGTACCAAATAGAGCCAGCGTCGTCAGAGGCAATGCCTCCGCCAGACATCCAAACGCCGGCTCCTTTGATATCGTTTGCAACGCCCTTGCCTTCCATGGCGTAGTGCTCAACAACCTCGCCAGTGGTCTTGTCCCAGCCCATAATCCAGCCGGTGAAATTGTACTGGACACAATGTGACGCAAACCCACCGTATATAAACTGACCACTATGAAGCAACGCGGTTCGTTGGAGATGAATTCCTCCAGTAAACATTCGCAGGTCGTTGTTGCGGGCAATAATTCCATCGAGAGGGACTGGAAAGTTGGGCCTCTCGCTGAGATCATTGGCGTCTAACGCATGAATAAAGTATCGGCCGGCATCACGACCCTGCGGTACCCCCAATGCGGTTTGGTCGGCGTATGTCTTTGAGGTATAGTAGATGGTATTAGTATCAGGGTCAATCACACCCGTTGCCGTGATTCCAATGTTGGGGTTGATGTCAACACATCCATCAAGGTCTGCAGCCAAGAAAGGGATGTGAAGATTCCTAGAGGCCACAATGTCGCCCGTCTTTGCGTCGAGCTTGTAAACATTGTTCTGTTGTGTGGCCACATACACATACTGCTTAGTCCCGCCGCTGGGCGTATAGACGAGAGGCTGAGAAAAGATTTGCTCGGCAGAACCGGCATATGTGCCAGGAAGTCGAGTTTGGAACAATTGGCCAAATGAGGAGCTCCCGACGACGGAGGGATCCATGTTGTGGTTGCTGCTTGCACATTAGCTGCTGCACGGATTCAATACGGATGGGGGAGTTCTCCTACGTTTGGTATCCAGTTCTGGAGTTGTCACCACCCCAAGTGATGGTATCGGTCGAAGCCAGGCCTTTGGCCAGGCTGACAAAGGCCGTGATGAACAGCACAGCTAGCCCCATTGCTGCAAGTCTCAACGATAGGACAAGAAGTTGTTGATGGCTAGCAGCAAGCAAAGCAGGGGAGACTCGCTCCTCTTAAGGAAACGAAACGATCGATAACCAAGCCGTCCATGGATATTTCAGCGCCAAGCAGTCGATACCGGATTTCGGGTCACCAAAAGCTGAACCACGCTGCTTGACCAGGGGATCTCGACCAGGGGATGAGATGGCGAAAAGTGCCATCGAGCCGCAGGGTCTATACTTGGCATCTTGCCATCTTATCCGGTCCCCTGCTTTGCGCCTTTGCGCCTTTGCCATGGCCGGTCGGTGGAGACGCGGCTCGTCGATGCTGGCAATATTGGAAGCGTTAACCATCGGTGCGACGTAGACGGCAGACCTTGACGGCAGACCTTGACGGCAGACCTTGACGGCAGACCCTCTCAGCAGAGGCAACCCGAAGCCAGCTGGAAACATTGAACGCACGAGCCAGATCCCACTCTCGCCGTGTGCCGGTCCATCTGAAAATGATAACGAGCCAGGGGATTCGGCAAGTCTCCGCGGCGTGTGGATATTCGAGGTCGAGGATGGCTTCCGGGGAGCAAAGAAGAAGAGAACGTGCGTGGGCTAAACACAGAGGGCATCGGGACCTTTGCAACATAAGGCGCCAGGAACAGAGCAGTAGCCGCATAGAGCCTGGCGTCAGGCCTGTCAGTGCTCAAGCCAGGCTCTAATCAGAGCCATCCGCGCTCTAATAGCGGGTGCCTGACAGCATCGACCCCTGCAAGCTCGGTGGCGCATGCGGCACAAAGGTGCCAGGCATTTCAGTTAATATGCAGCGTGGACATTAAATCGATCTCGGGGGTCCAAGACATTTGATGCTGTAGGCATGCAGTAGAGCCGCAGTTGTGCCAAGTTGTCGCAGTGGTGCTGTAGAGAACAATGGAAGGATGAATCACGGATGCAGCCGTGAGACAAAGGACTACAGACAGAGCAAGCAAGACAGATAACATCCATGTACACATGTGGATGTAATCAAGGCGCAAAGAGTTCGTGCCAGGGGGTCCCACAGTGGACAAAGAAGCATGTTTAGATGCATCATTCAGGTTCGCCGATCCGTCCTTTGTACAAGCCAACCTAGGTTTATCACGGGTCTACATATCTAATACTGTACAATTCTATTCCAGGATTTCATACAAATACAATGCTTGAAAGATCACCTGCACTAGCAACATGAACATTGCTGTGGATCGAAAAAGTCGGGAAGCATCAGGACTTCAGCTTCTTCCCGCTCCCCCGGCACTCAACGCCTCACCAGGATTAATTTCCACCGCCGTTCACACAATCAGTCAGCAATCAATATTTGGCGGCACAATCAATAGCCGCCATCCCGCTGCACATACTGCTTCCCTTTCAGCTATACTGCAAGTTTGCCATTGAGGCGTCCTGCATATGCCGATAAATGTCTTAGACACGGAACACAACAGCAATCTCGCCCATGGGATTCCCAGCTGAGGCTGCTTGCGCCCCCAACGTGCCGCTGCCAAATTTGGTAGCCAAGGTCTGGAATCTCTTAATTTGGGAATATTGAATGCAGGTCCGTGTATGCAACTAGGTAACACTTCTCCGATAATATCTCTCTCAATAACTTTCCACCCTGGAAGCACGCAGGTGAGATTGCAGACCCCTGCCTCAACCTGGGCCCACGTGGTCGGAAGATTGTTATCATGGCTTTTATTGGTGGCGCACAGGATATTACTGACTATGGGTTCTCATCTTTTTCCGGTAAAAGAGAAGAGTATCGCAGACAAACAGTACGGTTAACTCTTTTCTATGTTACACGTACGATATGCCCCAACTGAGCAGCTGAACTGCTTCGGATGGCAACAACAGCTGAACAGAAAGTAAAGAAGAGTCTGGATACCCGGCTAAAAACAGAAACACGGGAACATTGATCAATTCCAATCCCGCTCGCTTTACAATTTAATTCCCGGTGGCAATGGCAGGTCTTGGCTGCGTCTCAAACCGATATTGCTTACCATCTTCTAGGGTATGTCCATTGCAACCAAGTGCGGTAGCATTCATGGGAATATCTTCGTATCAGCAACCACATTCGAATATATTGGTGGCGAAAGAGAAGAGATATTTACTCTTGCCAATTTCAGCTCCGTTATTGTCATGAGCAAATGCGTCCTGGGAAGTAATCACCAAGACGATCTGCATACACAGACCCACTAGTGTTATAGAGACTTACAGTTAACTCCACGATAACTTTATGTAGGTAATAAAAGCGTACTTGGAGGGATGCAGTACATAATAGGAGGTCAGGTCAAAGCTCAGAGTGATTTTCAAAGTGTGATTCAATACCAGATTAATGCTCGAAATAGAAGATCTATCATCGCATTATTCGTGTAGGTTAGGTTGAGTCACACATATTTAGATCTGACACAGATAAACTTCAATTCTCTTACGAAGAGGTGCTGACGGTAACGTTGGGCAGTAGTATCTAGGTTATAGACTCACTTTGCATAAACGGCGAAGAAAAACGAAGCTGTCCCGATAGAGGGAGAGGATTTCCAAACGTGCCAAATAATAGCTAGGAAAAGAACAATTGTCACAATAACACTATACTACACTAATCACTTGACAAACAGTAACTAGCAATTTAAGTAAGTAGCTAGGAGTTGTCAAACCACAAAATACTATACTTTTACGAAGCCTGCCGTCCTAGGAAGTTAGATGTCGAGATCAATGCCAAACCTGAAGATGGTCTGTGGGCCGGTGCATTTGGCCAGGTCCGAGCCAACATTGGGGATCTAAGGCACCACCGATATCTAGAGCAAATGGGAATGCAAAGGAAATTGGGCTCGGCCACGTAGCTATGTCATAATAAGCGCTGGAAACGCCCCAAACATGAATGGCGCGCTCCATTTTGAGAGCAATACTGGTAGGAGCCGGGTAGACGATGGCACTAACACCTAGATGTAGGAATACGCAGCCGTGGTAGACACAATGAACTGAAAAATATTTGTAAATATTGCTGTTGAAATATATATCTCAATAGTCTTCTGATGAATGAACCTTTTTGACGATTGCCATTGAGGAGTGATGTGATACCAACGGTGAGGAGGTTGATAAATGTCGTTCAACTTGTGGAAATCGCCTGTGATTCCAGGAATGGCCGGAGATACGATGTCATGTTGTGAATATTTTGTTCGCGAACATCTTGCCAGAGATGAAACATCAGGCAGCGGTGGTAGAAGTGTTCACCACATCCAATGCAGCCACCAGAGTTGCCGGAAACGTTTAACGGAATTAAGGCCAGTCCTAATCCTTGTGTACACTCCTCATCTTCCCTTTCTTTATTGTTGAGTTTGTGCTCATCTGAATGCTTAAACAATCGTTGATAGTTTGAGGTTTTTGTTTGGCTCGGCACCTTGACCGGTTAGAATGTATTTGAAGATGGCGAATCACGATCTGGCACGTCGAGTTGAAAGTCAGCACTCTCCTCATTCTAAAGCTGGAAGAACAGTATATGTATTAGTGTGTTATAGATAGTCTGGAGGATAGGGATCAAGACCCAATTGGTTTCTTCGCTCAGAGAAATATGCATGCTTAAGAGCACATATACACTCGGAGACATTTACAAATCTCCCTCCAGGGAGCTGACAAATGATTTCCAATACTGTTGCATAAAACAGAACCTCGGGGTTCATTTGATGTCCATACTATTTGCCCTCAATCAAGGAAAAAGTTCTCCGCCTGTACATACATGTATCGATCACATTGACGGTAGCTCTAACAAAGGATTCCGGAGCCAGGCGGCCGAAAGCAGGGGTTAAGCAACCGAACCATTCAACTGTCAGATCGCCTTACCCGCCCGACCCAAACCGTATTGTCCGAGTATCCACTTTCTACAGCAGCGAGATGTGTTGGTTGCTTTAAACCCAAGAGAATCCTTCCAGTATTGGTAATCTGCTCGGCGCTCGGACTCGCTAAGAATACCGACTTGTCCATCTTGTCTACATCAATTCATGCCCTCTAAAACATCAATCATTGGGATAGTGTAAGGGGAAGGGAGAATAGTATATATTCGCATAGGTTTCGTTGGGTTTTGCTATAACTTCAATCAAGCAGGGCCGCCGCAACCACTCACTATTACTCGTCAGCTTACCCATCCCTCAATAAATTGACTTTATCCCTAAAATTTACACACAATGCCCGAGCATGTGCTAGTAATTGGAGCCACTGGCAACATTGGTGTAGCTGCCGTCAAGGCTGCCCTGAACTCTGGGCGTCAGGTCTTGGCTATCGTTCGTAACCAAGCCTCGGCTGAGAAGCTCTATAAGCACGTCGGGTCATCTGAGGGCATTCAAGTTATTGAGGCAGACGTCACGTCTGACACGGGAGTTAAAAGTGTTGTTGACCAGGTCAAGGCCGGTAAACTACCAGCCTTCCAACATGTGTACACATGCGGTTAGTTATTCTCCTTTTGCTATGTAATATGGAATTTCCGGTTTGCTAATACCAGTTGTCTCGTTTAGTTGGTGGTGAATACACCAATGTTCCTCTAAAAAGCATTACTACTGAGAGGCTCCGTAAAAACATGAACATGTCCTTAGAGGCCAACTTCTGTGAGATCCCCAATTCATTTTGCTCCAAGGTCTATCTTCTAATGTACTTGAAACCACAGTTGCGTACCGAGACACCATCGAGTATTTACAGGAACAAAACCACCCTGACAGCACATGGACCATCTGCACGGGCTCACAGGGCGACATGGCCATCTTTGCACTGCCAGCCATAACACAGGGCCCTTTATTCTCGATGGCTACGGCAGCTGCTCGAGAGAATGAGAAAACTAATGTGCGCGTGAACGAGGTGTACCTGATGTTCCGAGTCGAAGTTGATGAAGATGCTGCACAGCATGGGGTCACCAGCAGCTCCGAGTTTGCTGCCGTCTATGAGGGTATCCTTTCTAACCCTGAGATTCGCAGCTCGCGTGTACGTGTTGCTTCTCCGGCTGATATCAAGGACCTCAAGTGGGCCAAGAAATATTAAGACGGTTGATGCACTTTCCATTGGAAGAGTCAATGGCATGTTGTGTTGGGCGGTTGGACAGACAGTTGAGAGAAGTATCACAATTTTCTATACGCTCTAAAGCACCCATGCACCTAGCTAAAGTATCTATCTGAAATAATGTTGAGTTATGATGTATCGTATACAGGAGGTCAATCCCCCCGTGTTAATCCATATCGTAGATTGTGAAGTGGCCCAATTCTCCGTTTACTCATATGGTCGTATTTGTTCATCAGTCCATTCCCAAAACGCCTTGGATGTCCCCAGACCACCATTGCTCTCTTCTTCGGAAGCCTTTTTCAGATCGCTTCGTATAGTCAAAAATCGTCCCCATGGCCCAACTGTGACTGTCAGCTTGTGTAACCATGTTAAAAAAAGGACGAATCAACTTACCCCAATCACCACTACGGTCCATTGTGACAGCTGGCGATAACCCAGCGAACAACTCCGTATAAGCACCATATTTGGGCGGATGCAAGACGAACGTCTTGAGGAACTTTGCAGCAACCGCTCCTTGGGTTCTCCATAGCTCTGAATCGAGATTCCCTGGGTTCAAGGCAATGCTTACAACGCCTTGGTTTTTGAATCGTTTCGCCATCTCAACGGCATGCAGGTAATTGCCAGCTTTGCTGAGAGCATAGCTTGTAAAATCACTCATCTCTACCCGCTTGCCAATCGTTTTCATGTCGACACCTCCTTTGGGGACGGCCGGTGTCTCAGCGGCGGATGAAGCAACCCATACTACACGTACGGTTCCGGGTTTCTCTGACTTGGCTGTCTCAACGAGGATAGGTGATAGAAGTTTGGTGAAGAAATAGGTGCCGATATTATTCACTCCCAGCTGAAGCTCGTAGCCTTGCTTTGTAACCGATCCTTTGCCTGGATTCATAACGCCAGCATTGTTGAAAAGAACATGCAACTTGGATTCCCTGTCGAGAAACTTCTGGGCCGAGGCCGGAATGGTGGTCAAATCTGCCAGGTCGAGGCTTAAGAATGCTAGTCTACCACTAGACTGCGGTGTAGATGTTTCAATTTCATTTATGGCGGCTAGGGCCCTTTCTTCCGAGCGGGCAGCGATGTATACGCTGGCGTTTTTGGCGTAGAGGATTTTGGCGAGTTCTTTGCCAACACCCGTGTTGGCGCCGGTTATAAGGTACACCTACAATGGTGAGCATGAGACTATGCCTTGAATGTGAAAAAGTTTACCTTTCCATGGAGGTCTGATAGCTCAGTTTCGACAAAGGATGGCTTTGGTGGGTAGACCTGCGATACTTGGTCGATCAAGTGGTCAAACATTGTGCTGTGCTTGCTTGTGTCGTTTGATGAAATTGGTTGGCAATGTAGAATGGACTGTGAATGATATTGAAAGTCGGGATTGATGTGAAAAGAGTTCTCTTATTTATATGAGTTGGCGGTCATGAGGCTGAATATAAGTCGTCATACATACATTATAGCATGCAGAGTGAAAACATAGCCAAAAGGGGCCATATAGTGGCGAACGCGCATAGTAAACGCGCCAATGGTCCGACGTCATTAGTTCAGCCTGCGCTTGACGGTATTGAATCCTGCCTCGGGTTGTGGGTTTCGGCTCATGCAATACCCTTGTCGCGATCGCGCCACATATCGCAAGCGAATGCGAGTGTAGCCACACTAGACTATCTGCAACTCGGCGATGCCGCTAATCGTAACAAGTACTCCGAATGCCGAATATATATGCTCTGTGACCTCTTCGGACCCGGGCGTCGGGTAGTTAAGAATTCCAGGGGACCGGAGACGGGAGGTTGAGAGTTTTTGATATCGTGTTTCTTTGTGTCTTTGCGAACAATGGATCGTAAGGAATTGTCGAGACTGAGCGCAAAGGGTTAACAAACGGCATTGTCCGGCTCCGATAGTCCCATGCCTTATTTGTTCGAATGCAACTCGGAGAAATTGCACAACGGCTCTTCTGTGGATCGCATGTGTTTCTGGGAAGAGTAAACACGTACAAATTTGCCAGAATTTGACCTCATCGTTCACAAGCCGCAGTCTCTCAACAGCATCTGCCGCATTCAAGGTCTCTATTGCAGGTTCAGCAGCCTAAAAATAAGCCAATACGAGTGATAGGTGGAAAATTCGAGACGAGGCATGCCATCTGATGACGACAAAGGCAGGTTCAAGTTATCAGCAGCTGGCAGTGATTAGTTATTTGCAACTGACTGGACCTTTCTGGCCAGCTGCTCGGCTCTCGCAAAGCCACTCGACAGCACCTTGACAAACGCATCACCCTTTCAACTATAGCTATGGCACAATGGAATTTCAGCATAATTACCACACAGCGGCAACTCTCATGAATGATATTAATATGCTGTTTTATCGATAGCTCTCAAGAGCTCCTAGATGCAGCTACAAGTGTTCTCTGTCAAAAGGCTTCAAATCACTGCCTCCCTCCCTATCCCTCCCTAGTCATGGTATATGCCCCTTAGCTGACCTTTATCTTCGCTTCTACCACGTGTAGTATTCATTCCGTATTTCGAATTCATCTGCATCTGGCTGTTGCTGGCAAGGAATGCAAGGCCCGCTGCTCTGCAAAATCGGCTCTGCCCGCTCAGTCGATGTCCAGAGGTAGAATTGCGTGTCCTCGAATTTATCGGCCGTCCTATCCTTTGCGCATCGGGGACACTCAAAGTACCAGCCGAGAATAGTAAAGACTTTCTTTTGCTTCTCCCGAGACAGTTGCCGCTCAGTCAATTCCTCCTCGACAATGTCCACGATCTCTGCAAATGGAACGCCCTCCTCTGAACTGAATCTGAGCGATCTGATCGTGTCAAAAAGAGTATAATCCCGGCCATCATCCCAAAAGATTGGGCTGTCGAGGACGCTGAGAACGTCTCTATCTATGCGTCTTCTGACCAGTCGGGCACGGATAGCTTGTCCCTCTGATGTCGTCGGTTCAGGCATTTTAAAGAGGTTTTGGTGGTCTTTGTGCTGCTAGAGAATTGCTTTATATGCTCGAAGAATGATATCTGAGGTCTTTGAATGCCACTCTACCATCGACTGTCGACGTCCATATTCCATGGTTAAATAGTTCTCCAAGGAGCTGTTGCTTTCGATTCACACATGGGCATTTTGCAATGTCCCTCAGGCAGAAATGCTCTGAATTGGAATCTCAGCTTCGTTGCCACATGCCGTGTTACGATTCACACGCGCCGTTCTGTCGTTCTTCAAGCAAAAGCACCCTGACTTAGCATCTGGGGTTGTTACCACATGTCGTGTCACGATACACAAAGAGCATACTGAGGCCAGAAAGGTATTGGCCGATGCAGAAAAAAACACCGAACTTGTCAGTAGCCTCAGAGAGTGGAGAGAAGATATCTTGATTCAAGTTAGCTTTTGCTGTTCAAAAGAAAACCATGAAAGACGGAGGATATTCTCTTTCTTTGTTAAAAGCACCGAGATAAATGCAGTCTTTGTTGTAGGCCTAGCTAAGGATAGTAAATAGGACGTCCATTCAACCACCTCTTTGACTTGATCACTCCTCTTTGTGATCCAGATCTCTGAGATACATGCCATAGTATGTGTCTGTGTCACAATGGTGCCACCTTTATTTGGCGTATCTACGCTCTTCGAGTGAATTGCTGAGTACCTCGTAAAGAGTCAGTCGATCTCTTAGAGTCAATCATGCGAGCTCTCTTTTAGGCTGACACATGTGAAGACAGATGTCTGCTCTTCTAACAGTGGCAAACATCAGCATCATCTCGTAAGAACCACAAAAAAATTGCATGGATCAGAGTCGGTATTATGCTAGAGACTAGGCCAGCTTGATTCAATAATTACACGTGCAACAAATGCCTATGCGCACTTGCGCCCGTCGTAGTCTTCAATAAGATTGTATGTTGGTTAATAATGGCAATCAAAGCAGGCGTTAATGACCATTCCCAATATCGCAATGTCAATTTGAGATGATACTATCTCCTAAACATGCCAAACTAACTAAAAGACAATTGCTGGCTCGTCCTCCATCGACCTAATCCACGTATCCGTACTTCATTATGGCCAGCACCGCAGAAAACGAGGGGACATATCCCTAAACACTCAAAAAAGAAGTCCAGCTCTCCTGGCAGCCAAGTGAGCTTGGTCAACCCAAGTAGCACACTGGCAGATGTTGTTGACATATTGAGCGGTGGGAGCGCCAATAGCGCCGCAAATATCCGCCAGCATATCCAAGTCTTCGAGTCTAACGCTGCCAAGGGGGTATTTGGAGACAAAGGTAGACAGTGCCTCTGGTCCATGACCAACATAGTACTGTCTTTCAAACATCATGCCAGGCTTTCCAACTGCGCAGCGGACGTGGAGGAGTTGTCCGGTGTTGTTGTCGATGACAATGTAGATGGCAAAGTGCCTGCTGCCGCTTGCGGGGCACACTTCGACATTGTAGACTCGGCAGATTTGGGAGTCCATCGCGTCGAATGGGGAGAGTGGAATACTTTTCTTTGGAGAGCGACCGCGTGTGGTAAACTAGAGAGTTGCAAATGCTAGGGGCAAAAGGTAAGCTTTGGTTCCCACAGGGTAGAGAGAAGGAGGAAGAAGCAGAGGAATTCATACTGGTTTTTGCGAATAAAGGCAGCAGAAATCGTGAATCTCGTCGATTCTTCTCTCTACAGTGGGTGAAAGTCGAAAAGATGGCTGGAGACAAGAGACCAGAGCAGACAAAGGCGCTGGGGATTGGCTGATGTAATAAAGATTGCAGGGACCGAAGGATTCTCTCGAGAGAGGTTTGTTCAAGAACGTGCAGAGTGAACGATTTGCAGGTATCCGGGAGAGAAACCCAAAGGCAAGATGGAGAAGGAGCATGGGGGCTTTATCATTGCCTGACAGGTGCACCAAATCAGCAGGACCGGCACGTCCAAGGCCCGAGGGAGCTGTGAATGGGGAGCTGTGAGTGAAATCACCTCCTTCCTGAGATCAACTGCTATCAGCTGTCCACCGCTCGCTTCTTGGCGCAAGTTTGACGCGGGGAGTGTCGAACGCTTTAGGGGTGGGCACGCACTAAATCGAGAGTCCTCTCTGATACTGAGGTGAATTGATCTCGACCCAGACCAAAAATGCTTCACGCATCTATTCTTAGTCAAGTAAGACAGTGTGGTGTATCTATGATACATATATAAGGCAGCATTGAAACCCTTACTCGGCGTCATAGTGTCTCTCGCGCAATTCCCACGTGGACCGCGAAACAAGGTCGTGCAAATAATGTATCTACGCACTTCAACATTGACGGTTTCTTGGGAAACTAATCCTGGTAGAGGTATCAAAATCTACCGGAGGGTTCCGAATTGAAACAATTCTGTCTCTAATCACGCTAGAAAGAAGGGCGTGCCAGTAACAGATCTACGGATGCAAACGCGGGGGATTTGCAACCAGCCGGGAAGTCTTGGCACAAGACCCGTCTGACTCTGAATAATCTTTGAACAACAAAAGATGTCTGTCTTCTCCTTTGGGATGTTCTCTCCAGGTCATTGGCAGCAATACCAGGCAGTGACACTGGTGGTTGGCGGAATCTCGGGCCGAAGAGCCAACAAAGAGCTTAATTTTAGTTTACAGACACATGTGTGACATGATTTCCTGTATTTGCATCTCTGATGCGAATCACTGAGGCTGTATAGTCATTTCTTTCCCGCTGTACAAGCGAGGTCCAGCCTTTACCGGCTCAAATCTTCACATGATAACTTTGACTTTGGTCCGACTACATCCTGGTAGGCTTCGACACTCGGCACTTCTTCCCCATTGTCTCAGCCCATCGGTATAATCTGACAGTATATCGACAACACTTTGGTTAGTATCTCAAGAGTTGACTGATCTAGGGGCTACCCTGAGATTTCGGTGGATGCGCAAACCCTGTTATCCGTTGATGTAAGGGAGTGGCTATTCAGTATCCAAAATTTGCTATCTAGCACTCCGTGTCCTAGACTGAAAGCCGGTGTTAATATAATACTGGACACTATAGGACTATAGGTACGTAGCGGTCGATAGAAGCAAGATACGGCAGCAGCAGATACTCAAGGAACAGTGTATCTACTACTAGTAAAATGGAAATAAAAGACTTTCATCGTATCCCATTCCGATGCTTCAACTCCGAGTGGGCTAAATAGTAGCCAGCCTAGGGGAGTGAATAGCTACTCCTTAATTTGAGGATCAATATACCTCATGAATTGGCGGCTGTAGAGCAAGCAAATCCCTTTAGTTTTACAAAAAGCCAACGATTCGTGTATGTGTTGGCGCATGGTAAAGAAGCTGCAAGTCACAACTCCACCAGCTTTTCCTGGAATGGAATGTCTCACTGAACAATACAGCAATCTCGCGATTAGCTCAAAGCGAACAGCGACGACCAACTACGGCGAGCATTGTTTCACTATATTCCTTTTTTTTTCCATTTTGGTCTCTGTTCTCTTTGTTTTAATCCGCGGCTAGCCGTGCTACCAGAAGGGCGAGATCAGAGTAGGAGGCAGCCTTTTGGTGAAAGAGAACGAGCAGAGTAACCGCAGAGAGCATAAATATTCACATCAGAAGCAAAATGGAACGCTGAGCCAAGATATCCTGATCAAATCCACGTAGTCGTTTGTCTTAGTACTACGACTGCTCTATGAACATGCGGAAAAGAAAGAAAAAATGATTCAGCATTTTCTGTGGAGCAAGAAAAAATGATCGTCAACAGGGGATTAGATTGATAGAGGAGAGTATTTCACCAACGATTTCATGTACCAAATACAATTACGAGCACATTGCTAGTACAATAATAGATACAAAAGCCATAGCCTAATTAATACTAATCTCAGCCAAGAAATAGCTCATATTGTTGGATCAATGAACAGAAACTTTTTTCTCGTGATGCTGCCGCTACGGAGAATCTTTGCCGTGACGCATGGGCAGCAAAATTAGTCCAGCTAGATGTTAGTGGAGGAGAAGACAGTACCTCGTCTCGGACCATAAGCAGGGGCAAAAGTCAAGTACCCCCAGAGCTGGACAAAACATTTCCTGGCTGAGCAGCGGCCGATTGCCGGTCCGAAAATTTTCACCCCACCAAGGCTTGACTGATAGATAAGAGAGGGGCAGAATTTCATCACAACTTTTGCTCTGCTTGGGGTGCATCGTCTCCTCCGGTTTAAAAGCAAAAAGCTCTATTTTGTCTTATGGCATTGAGTTGTTCTGCTCACTAAGCAGAAATCGTCAATATGCCGTACGAGGTTCTTGTTGGAGGCTCGTGCTACACGCCTTCTGATGCCCAGAAGCTGCGCGAGCTCATCAACAAGTCCAGCCCCTCCAAGGTCAAGGACATCCAGGGCCAATGGATCTACTATGTGAACCTGCAGGTGTCGTCTCACGATACTCTGGAGCAGGTTGAGGAGCTACTGCAGGACGTTCGCGGCTGGGGGCTTGGTTCCGAGGGTCCCGGAAACGCCCTGACGATATACGCAACGCCTCGCTACATCTCGCCATGGAGCTCCAAGGCCACCAGCATTGCCCACGTCTGTGGCCTGAGGGAGCGAGTCTTGCGCATTGAGCGAGGCCGTCGCATCTCTATCCAGTTTGAGGAGCCCTTGTCCGAGGGCCAGGATGCCACGTTCCGCGATGTGCTCTACGACCGCATGACGGAGCTGTGGACTGCTGAGCCGCCGTCTTTGGTGCAGATGTTCGAGTCCAAGGCACCTTCTTCTCTGGTTGCTGTCGACATTTTCGCGGATAAGGAGGATCCTCTTCGAATCCTCAGGGAGTACAATGTCAAGAAGGGCCTCAGTCTTGACGAATCCGAGATGCAATACCTTGTTGACGTGTTCACCAAACTTGGACGACCTCCCCATGATGTGGAGCTCTTCATGTTTGCTCAGGTCAACTCAGAGTATGAGTGTATCCTTGTTTAACTCTCGAGTGGGATGCTCACATTTGTATCCAGACACTGCCGACACAAGGTCTTCAACTCGGCGTGGACCATTGATGGCGTCCCTCAGGACAAGAGTCTTTTTGAGATGATCAAGACGACCCACAAGACCACGCCTGACTTTACTGTCTCAGCTTACAGCGATAACGCGGCGGTCCTTGAAGGCGACAACGCCAATGTTTGGGCTCCTGATTACTCTACTGGCTCCTGGAAGCTCACTCCAGAAGTCGTCCACATTCTCACCAAGGTTGAGGTAAGGCTGCTGACTGTCGATTGACTCTTTTAGCCTGTTGGTTTCTGACTCAGTTTAACAGACTCACAACCACCCCACTGCCATCTCGTAGGTTTTCCAAACAGAGTTTCCTATTTGCAAGGGGATAGATTTGCATCCTCTGCCTGTCATCTTTGATTCCAGCACGTGGGAGAAATATGACATCCATCTTGATTTTATGATGTTTCATGATTAAGAAAACTGACTCTGTTGCCACTAGGCCCTTCCCCGGCGCAGCTACCGGTTCAGGTGGAGAGATTCGAGATGAAGGTGCTGTTGGACGAGGTTCTACGACAAAGGCTGGCTTGAGCGGCTTCTGGGTTTCTGACCTGCTCATCCCCGACAACCACGCTCCTTGGGAGAGTGACATTGGCCGACCTCGCCACTACGCTAGCAGTCTCGACATTATGCTTGAGGCACCTATTGGCAGTGCCCGCTTCAACAACGAGTTCGGACGTCCGGCTCTTGCAGGTGTCTTCAGAACTCTCCTGACACCCGAGGAATCCCAGGAAGACTCCGACGTCTCAAGCGTTGCCAACTGGCGCGGCTACCACAAGCCTATTATGATTGCTGGTGGTCTCGGATCTGTGCGACCCCAGCACGCCCTCAAAGAAGAGCGATATGTCCAGGAAGGCGCCCACGTTATTGTCCTCGGAGGCCCTGCGATGCTCATCGGTCTCGGCGGCGGTGCTGCCTCCAGCAGTGCCGGTGGAGAGCAAAGCGCTGATCTCGACTTTGACAGTGTTCAGCGCGGTAATCCTGAGGTATGCTTCAGCTTCACTGTATGATTTTTCAATTGCTTGGCATCGAGCTAATCATACCACAGATGGAACGACGCGCTCAAATGGTCATCAACACTTGCACTGCCTTGGGTGAACACAACCCGATTGCTATGATTCACGATGTTGGTGCTGGTGGATTGTCCAACGCCCTGCCCGAGTGTAAGTATTTGAACATCAATTACACGTTTAATGCAGCTCTAACCTTCACTAGTGGTCAAGGATGCTGGATTTGGAGGAAACTTTGAACTTCGCCAGGTGGAAAGCATGGACCGAAGCATGAGCCCATTGGAGATTTGGTGCAACGAAGCCCAAGAGCGATACGTTCTCCTGATCAACGCCGACAGCATGAACCGTTTCACAAGCATCTGCCGCAGAGAACGATGCGGATTTTCAGACGTCGGAACCGTTATTTCCAAGAACGAGCACGGAGCTACCAGCCTGATCCTCACAGACAGAGAGTCCAAGGAGTACCCCAGGCCCATCGATCTCCCCATGGACGCCCTTTTCCCTCCCAAGCGCTTGCTTCAGCGGGATGTTGCTTCCAAGAAGCCCACTCTGCTCCCATTCAACGCGTTTTCCAGCCTCCAGAAGGCATATGGAGAACTCAGCGGTGCCGAACTTTTCAAGAAGGCCGTTGAGCGTGTTTTCTTGATGCCATCAGTTGGTTCCAAGTCATTCTTGATTACCATTGGCGATCGAAGCGTCGGTGGTCTCACCGTGCGTGATCAGATGGTTGGACCATGGCAGACACCGGTTGCCGACGTTGCGGTGACAGCTACGTCGTTCCATATCGGTACCAAGCAGAAGACGGGTGAGGCCATGGCTATGGGTGAGAAACCTACTCTCGCCATGATTGACCCAGCAGCCTCTGCCAGAATGGCCATCGCCGAAAGTTTGATGAACATCGGTGCCGCTGATGTCACAGAAGATCTGCGTCGCGTCAAGCTCTCTGCCAACTGGATGGCCGCCGTGAACCACGCTGGTGAGGGAGCAGCATTGTATGAAGCCGTCCGAGCGGCCATGGAGATGTGCACCAGGCTCCGAGTCAGTATCCCCGTCGGCAAGGACTCGACATCGATGAAGGCATCATGGAAGAATGAGGAGGATTCAAAGAACGTCACGGCACCAGTTTCCGTCGTCATTTCTGCCTTCTCGGCAGTTCGTGATATTCGCAGCACTTGGACTCCCCAGCTCCGTCGCGTGGAGGACGTGGGCGAGACTAGTCTCATGTTCGTCGACCTTGCAGAGGGACGAAGAGCCATGGGCGGTTCCGCACTCGCTCAGTCTCTTGGTGCCGTTGGCGACAAGGCACCCGACATGAAGAACTTTGACCTCATCACAGACTACTTTGATGCCTTGTCTCAGCTTCACCGAAGCGGCGTTGTCCTGGCTTACCACGACAGATCTGACGGTGGTCTCATCACCACCGTTGCTGAGATGATGTTCGCTGGCCGCTGTGGCGTTGACATGATGCTGGATGGCATCTCCAAGTCGGGCAAGCCGGAAGATATCGTTGACGCCATGTTCAACGAAGAGCTTGGCGCTGTGTTCCAGATCCGCACCGAGGATGAGATCAACTTCAAGCGATGCTTCGCTACCTGCGGACCTCCACCCGGCCTGATTCGCAAGTTTGGTGTTGTCCGATCGACTTCCAAGCAGAGCCTGAACATTCGCCACGCAGGCATGACCTTTGCCACCCTGGACCGTACCGAGATGCAGCAGTGGTGGTCCAAGACGTCGTACGAGATGCAAAAGATCAGAGACAACTCTGCCTGTGCCGAGTCCGAGTTTGGCACCATTTCCGACTCTGCGGACCCGGGCATCACCTATAAGCTGTCATATTCACCTGCTGAAAACATTCTCCCCATCACCTCGTCCATCACTGGCTTCTTTGGAAGAATCCCCCGTGTTGCCATTCTCAGAGAACAGGGTGTCAACGGCCACGCCGAACTGGCCTACGCCTTCAAGGCTGCCGGCTTCGAGCCCATCGATGTCCACATGACAGATGTCCTAGACGGACGCTCTCTCGCCGACTTCACCGGTCTGGCATGCCCCGGAGGCTTCTCGTACGGTGACGTGCTCGGCGCCGGCCAGGGCTGGGCCAAGTCGATCCTCATGCACGACAACACGCGCAGAGAATTCGCCGCCTTCTTCAAGCGCCCCGACACCTTTGCCCTGGGCGTGTGCAACGGCTGCCAGATGCTCACCCGCATCAAGGAGCTCATCCCCGGCGCCCAGGACTGGCCCAACTTTGTCGACAACACCAGCCAGCAGTTCGAGGCCCGCTACAGCATGGTCAAGGTGCAGGTCGACAAGTCCAAGCCCTCCGTCTTCTTCCACGGCATGAACGGCTCCGAGCTCCCCATCGTCGTGTCCCACGGCGAGGGCCGCGCAAAGTTTGGATCGCCAAACTCTCTGCAGACGCTCACCGAGTCCGGCATGGTGCCGCTGCGATATGTTGATAACCGGGGTAACGTCACGGAGCAGTATCCGTATAACCCCAACGGCAGCCCGATGGGTGTCGCCGGTGTGGCGAGTCCCGATGGCCGTGTTGTTGCCATGATGCCGCATCCTGAACGAACCATTATGGCTGACATTACGAGCTACGCTCCTCCTGAGGATATCGAGGAATGGGGCGAATTCGGTCCCTGGTTGAGAATGTTCCGCAGCGCCCGCAGATGGGTCGGCTAGAATGCTGCGTATAAGGAAATAGTTTTTGTGTGTCTTGCAATCTTCCTTTTTTTTTTTTTTTTTTGTAAAAAAGATAACCTTAGAAAATATCCAACATTTGAGGGAGGCGCAGGGTGGGTTGATTGATTGATTCCGGCTGGTATATGGGATAGGCTATTTCCATATGAAATAAGATTGAACCAAACATGAACAACAATGATTTAAACCGTGAATACAAACCAATGTTTCTTTCGTTTTCTGTCTTACAGTGTAAAGCTACTACTTATACAAAATTTCATACTCTTTACTCTCTCCACCACCACCAATCTTTCAGTTAAAAACAGCTTATATGGGTATTTCCTGCCATGCTTCTTACCATTCATAACTCCAGAATCATTCTACAATAACATTTCTTCTTCCCCTTCAGAATGCTGGCCCCTCCCACGTATCTCGCCACAGCCTGACATACCACGACTGTTTATGCGGAAACGAAATCTGTCTCTCCTTGCCAAAGCCTGCCTCATCCAAATGCCGCAGCATCCTAATCCAGCATTAGTTAGCGGCAAAACCAAAATATTTCCATGAAATGTGAAATATAATCCAACTTACCTCTCGTTATCAACCCGCGGCTCCAGACACACGCTCATGGTCCGGTTATCAGCTATAAAGCACCAATGCACAAGACTCGTCAACCACTGCGGCACCCGACCCCTCGCCCACTCCTCCCCAACAAAAACATGTATCCCACGATCAAAGTCCCCCGCAACATTCGCCAAGTGCCGGCCGAGAATATCTTCCTTCACCCAGTAAATCTCAAAGTAGCCAAAGGGAATACCATCCCACGAGGCAATGACGGGGAACGAGTGCCTTAGCTTAAGCACACCCTCTAAAAACCCAGGCTTGTATTCGCCCCAGAATTCGCTTACGCGGGGCTTCGCCATCCACATCTTCAGAAGCTCAATGTCCGTCATGCCTGTCAAGTGTGCGTGCTCCTGGGAATTGTTACTGCTTCCCACGGGGCCCAGATACGGCACTGGCTTGGTTGACGTGGAAGCAACGCGGAATGACAGGTATTTGCCAACACTAGGGACGTAGCGTGAGTAAAAGATCTCGCCCATCCTATGAGGCTTCGGTCGCACGGGATGTCGAACGCCGTCTGAGAAGGTGTACTGCAGCGGAGGAGGAGGAAAGTACGTCGGGAGATGCGAGGTCGAGTAAAAGGGCCCAATTGGAACGGCAGGGGTCTGAGGAACGCTGGTCGGCATAGGCCCGCCCGGCAGGTCGCTATCGAGACGAGTGAGGCCGTCAATGGACAGATAGTGGGTGAAGGAGGACTCGCCTCGCACGGGAGAGCTCGGACGACTATTCACAGGCGATCCAGGGACGGACGAGTTGGCCTTTTGAGTCGGCTGCAGCGTAAAGAGGAACAGGTGGCCGGGGATCTGCCAGAACATGCGTCTCGAGACATACATGTGCGCCCACTCGTCGCCGCTGTCGTCGAGGCCGATGCCGCATGAAGTATCGCCAGCAGCAATTAAGCCCATGCGCTCTAGCTTGGGAATCAAGTTACGCCCACGGAGCACGCCCTCCCGCTTGATGTTGATCCTCCACTCGCCATTGGGCTTCGCATTGTCCGGTGTATCCTTCGCCGCTTCGGTGTGCAGCTGTGGGAGAGGCTGCGGCTGGTGAAAGTACCAGTACAGCGTCACCCACATCATCATGGCAATCTGCCTCGTTGGACTCGCAGCAGGCTTGAAGTCGGAGTTGGACGGGTTCGAGATGGACGAGATGAAGAGGGTGTCGTTTTGCAGCGTCGGGCGAATAAATGGATGTACTCGAGTCTTAGGCGAGGGCGGCCGTGAGGGATCCGAGGCAGGCAGATCTTCTGCGTCGTTGTCGGCGGCGAATGGTGATTCTACTTCTTCTTCGGTGTGTAGGACGACGTTCCAGCCGATGGGGAAGGCATTGGGGTGCATGTTCATCTCGTGGCTCTTGAAGCCCAGGCCAGCGAAGACGGGCGTGACGGTGAAGGTCTGGCCATCCGGCAGATGCAGCAGCTGCGGCGCCATGATGGAATTGAATAGCTCGAGTCGATGAGTTACAAAGATGCAATGGAGAAGAAGAAGAAGAAGCTCAAATTATAAAAAAAAAAAAAGATGGGCTATCGTAGCATGCAGGGGTTTGATATCACCGACGATATACGAGCAAGGCATGTGGAGTAAAGTAGAGTAGCAAGAGCAAAAAGCAAGCGGGGGCGGGGTAGAAAGCAGATAAAAGTTGAAGCTCCAACTGTAATATGAGCTGAGCTGAAGCTACAGCGGGCCTAGAGCTGCCCCGGATTTATATCATGGGGTCATGCGCGTGTAAGTTTTGGAGAAGGTTTTGCCACAGTGCGACTCGACATCACCGGCATAAATCAAACAAACAATAGCCAGCAAAAACAATAAACAATCATCACGTGCTTTGTCTCTCTTTTCTTCTATGGAATGTTTCAAGAACAAAAAAAGTTTGATCCTCCCTGCTCGTCCCATCCCGTAGCTGAGAACAGAACAAAGCAACGGCGAATCCGTCATGGCCTGACCAAGACAAGATCCTACACGCCAATTTTCTTACCAATAGTGCCACGGTCTATCCTCACTAATACGAGTGACAGCTCATTGTGGCAACGCTAACAAAAATAATCTCCAGCTATTGAACGGTAGGGCGAGGCGGCTCGGTTCAGCGGATCGCATCGCCGATGATCTGACCCGAACGATATCGACGATGTCAGCCTTTTGAGCCTGTTTTCCATATGTTAGTGGACAAGCACATGCATATTGTGTTCGTTATGGAATTATGAATTTTCAGCTCATGAACTGTTCAATTCGACTGCTTGTATCATCTGTTCGCCTGCTCTTACTACGCCTCATCCGACAATCAAACACATACTTCGACGCTACCGGCGCCATGATCAATGCTAACAATACAATACAATGCTGTGATACATCCATTCCTCATCAAATCATTCCTTCTTATGCGCATCCTGCTCCTCTTTGCCCTTCTTCTCCATCTGCACCCCTTCATCGGCCTCTTCATCGGTCTCCTCGTCAATATTCTCCTTCTTCTGCTTGCCATTCTTCTCCTTTTCTAAAATCTTCTTGACGCTTTGTCCCCCAAGATCCTTCATCTCGTCCCAGTCAACATCATATTCTGTGGCCACCGCCTTAATCTCTCGCCGAAGAGCATTGGCCTCGTGCAGCAGGTGCTCCCACTTCTGCGGATCGAATCCTCGCTCCTGGTACAGCGCGTGCTGCCGTCTCGAGACCGTCACATTCATCGCCGCCTTGTAGCTCAGATCTCGACTGATGAAGAGGAACCACAGGTATCCGCCCATGATGGTCGCCAGCCCGGCCAAGTACGTGATGGGCTCTACTAGATCCCATCCAAAATCCGTATGAAAAGTCACATAGTAGACGACGCCCCACCAACCAGCCAGAGCAGCAAAACCTCCCTGTGCCAGACGATGAGCTCCCTTGTGTGCTAAAAGATCGCACTCAGATTTGATCTTGGCCATTTGATCGATACTCCTCGACATCCGCCGCAGCTGCAGTCTCATGTAATGAGTCCGATCCTTGAAGCTGGGCACAGCTACCCGCAGCTCCTTGCTGAATCCCTCAATGTTAATGGCAAACTCTCGCCCGCGAGCTGCATCTCGGATGAAATCTCCCACTTCGGTGCTGCCACTCCATCGGACCCAGTTTGCCTCGTTGTCCTTTGCAGGACCCTCGCGGCCTAGGCCAGAATACGACGCCACGTTGCTTTTGCCGGTGTCTTCCCCCGATCGTCCTGGAGATTCTTCGTGGTCGGCTTCAGCACGAAAGATGATGTCGGGCAGCCTTTCGCGACCATTGACCTGCAATGGAGGGATCTCGGCCTGTATAAGTCGCTCGAGGTAGGATAGCGGCTGCTGGGGGTGTACCAGAAGCGCTAGAGGTTCTATCCGTTTACCGTTGTCTTTGTGGCTTCCGTCTTCGGACTCGTTTATAGTATCTTGATCGGGGTGGAATGGCATGGGTAAAATGAGTTTCAGTAAGCGGGTTGGTGTCGTAAGCAGTCGTCCTACAGTTTCGACATGTTAGCTCCAAGTCAGCAAAGCTTCATGTTAACATCAGCGTACCCTTTGAATTGTCTCCTCTGGAGGGATCTGGCGATGTCTCCTTGTATTGCTTGCTCCCACTCAACCGATGCCAGGGTCTATCGTCTGCCTGCTTCTGCAATCTATGGCGCTCGGTGTCATGGTGTTCCAACTCGTCGCTCTTCTCGTGTAGCCGCTTCGCCTTTTCCGTTGCTTCGTCCTCACGGACACTCTGAGACGCCGTAAAATGTCTCACCGGAAGTTGAAATCTGCACTGATGGCCTGTCTGCCTGAGCAACTGCAGTGATCTCTGTCTTTGTCCCCCGGAAACTAGCGGCAGGGCGCGGAACACGGCTCTCGCGCCGGTACATGAAGCCAACATTGTGCTACCGAACGCGCATTTGTCTTACGCGGGAACTTAGCTTTCCAATTGACAAAGTATCGAAAAGGTTTCTTTTATCTGGGGGATTTTGCATTGCACTGCATTGTAGTCATTAAATGATGATGGACGAAACTTGCTTCCATAGCCATGACGTCACGAGATGATTGCGACGATCATTTGTGGTGCGCTTCCATAAAGCAGCGGCCAATCGAGTCTTAGTCTTGCGCCTAAAGCTCAGCTGGACTTCAACCGTTAGCTTCAGGCACCTTCAACGACTGGTCTGTTGGAAGCTTTGGAGTTGCCCTGCCGATCGCAACGTCCAAGCCATTGTTTACTTTCAGATATGAGTCAACGTGCGAAACTCAATCAAGCCAGAGAGCTTTATCTTATAAACAACAAACTCAATCGAATAATTCAGCTTCTATCTAAGCCGAGTACCAAGCCATGAGCTCGTCTAGAGATGAACGAGCCAAGGCGGCCAAGCTGTTTCTCAACAAAAAGCTGCCATCCATATTAAAGTCCAATGCAAGAGCGAGAAAAGGCGTCGAAAGCGTCCAATTGATTGTAGATCCACCTCGAATAGTCCCAAAGGAGGCCATTGCTCCAGCAGCAGCAACTACAAGCCCAGAGTCTACCAAACAAACAGACGGCAATGACTTAGCTCCAACATCTCAGAAACCTCTCTCCACCCCTTTATCTCCCAATTCCATACGAATCTGGCCCGTCGATACTCTCGAAGCTGCTTCAAGGCTATCTAAATCCAGTCCATCCCGAATTGCCGTCCTCAACATGGCCTCTCCCCTCCGTCCCGGCGGCGGTGTCCTAACCGGGGCCACATCACAAGAAGAATGGCTTTGCTCAAGAACTACGCTATATCCATCTCTCCACGAAGAATTCTACCGCCTCCCCGAAGTAGGCGCCATATACACTCCCGATGTCCTCGTCTGCAAGACGTGGGACACGGAGCCCTCTGATCTCAAACCAGCGGATCAGTTCTTGATCGATGTCATCACAGCAGCCATGCTACGCCTTCCAGAGGTTGAGACGAATCAACAGGGAGAGCTTAAGTATTCGGAGCAAAAAGACAGAGATATGGTTTTAGCCAAGATGCGTTGCGTAATGCGTATATTGCGGTCTCGTCATATCGAACGCGTTGTTCTGGGGGCTTGGGGCTGTGGCGCATATGGAAACCCCGTCGACGAGATTGCCCGATCATGGAAGAGGGTGTTACTGGGACCCCAGGCCAAGAGATCCGAGCGAGTCGAAGTTTATGATGATATGGAGGTGGTTTTCGCTATCAAGGACCACAACATGGCTCGTAGGTTTACAACTGCCTTTGGGGCTGGGGCCATGTTGGAGGAGAGTGGTGGTGATGGCGTCGATTAGGACGAGTTATCTGGTCTGTTGATATGGCAACACGTTTGACTTCATGAATGTGCTCAATACTGATGTTTCTATACATTTCTCTTCTCTGTATATCCTTCGTTGTGCGTCCATGTGGCTTTCAAGGCGTCGATATCTCCCCTATACAGACTTTAGCCATGCTTTGAGAAACAAATCCACTGCTGTATATGCTTTTGTAAACAACTACTTAATGCTTCCCTTCCCCCCAGTCCCTCCCATCTTTTCTTTCTTTCCCATCTACATCTTCTTCCAGTCAGTCAGTCTAGCACACATAGCTTCTTACCAGCTTCTTACCACCCAATTCTACTTTATACTTCATATCACTTGCTACATCCTTCTCTTATACACACACACACACATACACACATACGCCCCTTACTACTTCTATATTCTATCCTATTGTTGTATTAAAGCAAACACACTCTCTAATCTCATACCGGGTTATCTTTTTACCCAATTGCTCTTATATCCTCTATTCTATTCATTCACCCTTCGACCCACTATTATACACCCACTATCACACACCAACCGACATCATGTCTTCCGTCTTTTACAACATGGATATGGATCTCCCAGTCACCGGAAATATTGACATGATCATGGACAGCCGGGACATTCTCGCCCCATTTGACCATTTGGCAGAGGAGTCTGATTCGGAAATGTTTCTGGGAGACGACAACAAAGAGAACGAGGAGGTCAACGAGGATACTCCCAAGTCTCAACCCCGTCCTAGCAAACGGGCCACCCGCCAGCCACTCTCGACATCAACAAAGTATCGTCTGGGGCCACGCAGAAAATTGACCGAAGAAGATCTCGACTTTGAGATATACAGAGACGAGACAGCTCATGACCACCCCCAATGGAGAAGAGAATACTACGGCAGCAACCTCCCTGCCCTTGGCGAAATCCACAACGGCGTCAAGTTCCAATACGCCGCAACCACTCTGTCCGCCGCCACCACCGCATCCTCATCGCGCAAGCACTCGAAGCCGGGGACGAGCAGATGGCCGAATACGTGTGGAACATTGCCCAGGAAGAGCCCACCAATCTTGAGCGTCTGGCCGCCGCCTATGTCTGGGACGTGGACTGCGATGCTCTGGATACCTGGCTCTGGGTCCAAGACAAGGGCTACGATCGCAACTGGACCGAGCACCAGAAGGAAAGATTCGTCGAGTTCCTACAGTGGATGAAGCCACTCATGGAGATAGCCATGGTCGTTGCCGCTGTCGACCGCGAAGAGGCAGAACATATCGACGAGTGGAACAATCAACTCATACGGGGGCAATTTGACAGCCTCGGCCTCCACAACCTTGACATCACAAAGAGTACCCTGGCGCAAGTCACCTTTGTGCCCGTCGGAGAAGACGAGAACATCCTCCACCGGGCTGACTTTACGGAGGAGGATCAGGCTTGCATAGATGAGCAGTGGAACGGGCCTGGACGTTGGGCTCCTGGGGAAGAGGCGGTGCCTCCATTGGAGAAAATCCCTTCTCCGGCGGAGACTGAGTGGGAATCTTCTGAGGAGGAATCCGAAGAGGAGAGTGACGAGGAAGACGAGGAGGAGGAAGAGCCCTATGAGATTGAGCCGGGGTTTGAGGGGGATGATTTGATTGCCTTTTGAGGCCATTGGCGATGATAGACTGTTATGAATTATGACATTTGGAACAACATTTGGCAGCGATACCCGATTGATTTGGGAGTTATTTGGTGTTTATATGGGATTTGATACCACATTGGTTTAAAGATACCCTAGCGTTGATTTTGTCCCAATAGAATTGTCTTTTAAATATTATTTCTTCATCTGTGACAATTATTGTATGCTTTGGTAAATCTGCAACCAAGCGACTAGATGTTGCGGAGTCTTTGAGTGATCTGTGTGCTGGCAGTCGTGTCTTATTTTGCTAGATTGTGATAGTCAAGTTTTCAAGCGACGAATTACACTTACTTCTATGTAAGCGGTTATTGATGTCCATCACCTGCGAATACGTCAAAGAAGACAATTATTCCACTTTAGTCCTTTTAACCATCAATTCGTATACGGTTATATATCAGTTTCCAAGCTTCCACGATGCCGTCACATGGTTTCATACACCCCAACTACAGTCCTCACAATGGTCACACGCACCGCAACTTCTCATCAGCCACTCATGAGGAAAATGAAGGCGACTACTGCCTGACGTGCCAATGCGTAAGATGTGTGGACAGACGAGCTGGGTTGGTTTTCTCTTAATATAGAACTCTTGCTCTCTGACATGGTAACAATCGAGATTGAGAAAGGCAGAGAGCAGGACGAAACTTTCGGCTGACGACACATATTGAATGCTCCATTCTTGAAACGGACTCTCATCTCCGTAACAATTAATAGCTCTAGTACCAAGCGAACATAGAGAGGTTAGGTTGTTCATAGCAGTCAAGATATGGTCAGCAAATTTAACGTGAAGAACTGGGGCATTTTGTAAGTCGGGAAGTTTCGCCATGTGGAATAACATACCTCAAGCAACGGTTTGGTGTAGCGTCGCCAGGGAAATTGCTAAAACTTAAGGCTGCTATTATTTCGAAATCTCTTAAATCATCTTCTTTCTATTCTCTCCTTCATCCAGCACAACGTCGGCAATCACTGCATCACATGTCTTAGTCTCTATATAATGCGCGCAATGTCATACTCCAGCAGCCATGAGGAGTCGACATCCATCCTAGAAGGGAACTTAATACTGCATCACCTCTATCGACATTGGCCCAATCAAAAACAGAGTCATTCTTGATGAATCTCGCTCTTGATGCATCATTCTTACGAACCAGCTCCTTCCAAGCCATGCAGCAGCGTATCACGCATCGGTAACGGCTCGTTGCCGGTTCAGCCCATCACAAATCTTACCGGTGCGGACAAATAGCCTTATCTGGATGCGTCAGGCAGATGAGAGATGTACAGACAGCATGTCCATGCGAAATGGAATCGTGGGATGCAATGCAATGCAACTTATAGTCTGTCAGTGCGCTGCAGTAAGCAAGGCTCTCGTGTTCGTATCCTTGATGCAACGTTCGTGTGGTGGGGGTTGATTCAGCCCCGCGCCCAGCCGAAAACGAGCGTCTGTTCGTCACATTTGGCTCTAGTTTTTAAGGGGAACAAAAGATAATGAATGGGATGGATCTAGAGGCATTGGATTTAAAATTGGCGCCGATATAATAGTGGCCAGGTCAGGTACTAGTACTAGAACAATCTGCCTTAGTCGTGCTTTAGTAGCAGCAGTTGGGCGGTGTAAAAGTCCGGGTGACATTTTGCCTTTGCGCCCAACCATCAATTTCCTCTACAGACTACTATTGGATCCCTATATCAAACCTCCTCTCCTCTCCTCTCCTCTCTTTTACTGCCAGCCATTGCTCAAGCCAGTGATATTTGTCTTTACCTAGGACGCCAAAAGGGAGAATCAAATAATTAATTCGCCCATTAAGCCGTCGATTCCACCAAACCATCGCCATGGCAGACACAAAAGTCTACCGCGCAAGCACCACCGCCCCCGTCAACATTGCCGTAGTCAAGTATGTCGAGCCATTGGGCCCCGATGAATGAATACACAAGAGAAATCAGGCCAGAGAATCAATTGCTAACCATTTTCCTTCTCCCTCTAGGTACTGGGGCAAACGCGACGCAAAGCTCAACCTCCCTACCAACAGCTCCCTCTCCGTGACGCTGTCCCAGAGCGACCTCCGCACCCTCACGACCGCCTCCTGCTCCTCCACCTACACCGGCGACGACAGCCTGCTGCTCAATGGCGAGCCCTCCGATGTTTCTGGCGCCCGAACCCAGGCTTGCTTCCGTGAGCTGCGCGCCCGCCGAGCTGCCCTCGAGGCTGCCGACGCTGCGCTGCCCAAGCTGTCGACTTTCCCCCTGAAGATTGTGTCCGAGAACAACTTCCCCACGGCTGCTGGTCTGGCTTCGTCTGCCGCCGGCTTTGCTGCCCTCGTCCAGGCCATTGGCAACCTCTACGAGCTCCCCGACTCTCCCTCAGAGCTGTCCCTCATTGCTCGCCAGGGCTCTGGCTCTGCCTGCCGCAGCTTGTTCGGTGGCTATGTCGCCTGGAGAATGGGTGAAAAGGAGGATGGCAGCGACTCCAAGGCTGACCTGGTTGCCCCCGCCTCGCACTGGCCGAGCATGCGCGCGCTGATTCTGGTTGTCAGCGCCTCCAAGAAGGGCGTCTCGTCCACCTCCGGCATGCAGCAGACCGTCGCGACCTCGGGCCTGTTCCAGCAGAGAATATCCACCGTCGTCCCCGCCAACATGGCCCTGATGGAGGATGCCATTAAGAACCGCAACTTCCCCCAGTTCGCCGAGGTCACCATGCGCGACTCCAACTCGTTCCACGCCACCTGCGCCGACACCTACCCTCCCATCTTTTACATGAACGATGTGTCCAAGGCTGCCATTCGCGCAGTCGAGGCCATCAATGCCCAGGCTGGCAAGACTGTTGCTGCTTATACCTTTGATGCCGGCCCCAACTGCGTCGTGTACTACCAGGAGGAGGATGCGGCGACGGTGTTGGGCGCCTTTGCGCCGCTCCTGGCTACCGCCGAAGGCTGGAAAGATGGAAGCGTCGTCAACGCCAGCGTCAAGCTGGATGAGGGCATCGCAGGCACTATCAAGGAGGGCGTCAGCAGAGTCATCATGACTGGTGTTGGAGAGGGCCCTCTCAAGACGGATGAGTTCCTGGTTGCTGAGGATGGCACGCCTGTGAAGCGATAGATGGGAGGCAATAGAATCTGGCGTTTGTTGGGATACAAGCCGTAAATGTACATGGCAAAAAGAATTATATACCAAAAGTTTAATATGTCAATAGATGGATTGAAGAAACAGCATCTCATGCATTTTTATGCCGTTTTATTTCTATTTTCCTGCTGTAGGTGACCTGCCAGCTGTTGTGCCAAAATCGCTGCTGGCCAAGTTTATTCTGCCACTTGTTACTTCATCTACCCGACACAATCACTTCGACCTTCTGTTGTCAACTTCCCTTTTGCACCATTCACCGCAAACCACGACCTAAATTCACTGCACTCGTTCATAGATTGAAACCAACTCTCCTGTAACTTCATTCGCTTCCTCATTGTTGATTTTGTCTCTTTGCGCGCAACTCTCGTCCTATGTTCGCGACACCTGCATTCATCGCTTTCGCCGCTGCACCTTTGATTTGAAGGTGGCCAAGGGCTCAACACGCCCACAATGGCGGTACCTGACGAACCTCACGATGAGCCAGCGGAGAAAATCACGGATATTCTAGCCTGGGGCAACGATGTTGACATTGTAGAGCTCGACAAGTCCGGCCATATGCAGCAACAGTGGCTTCATGCCCACGATGGCCACATCTTACCAGTGAGCATTTCTCCCTACCTCTACTAAATATCAGATTCTAAAAGCGATACAGGTCCAGCTCAAGAACAGATCCAACGGCATCTTCTACCGCTCTGTTCGAGAATGGCGCAAGGCCTTGTTTGACTCGTTTCTCCCAGTTGGATTCCCGCACTCCGTCTCCAAGGACTACTTGGCGTATCAAACGTTTGATTCCCTCCAGGCCTTCTTTTCAACCATCAGCTCTCTTCTTGCCAATCGTGCCCTGCTCAAAGGTCTCGGCGTCGGAGATGCATCGTCTTCGGCCACGTTTGCCCTTCTTCTCACAATCCTCAAAGATACCACGTCTCGCATCGCAACGATTGTGTTTGCCCACCGCTTTGGCCTTCGAATCGAACCAGATGCCAAGCGATACCGATTTCTAGCCGATCTTTTCAACGACAGTGCCTTCTTTCTGGAGCTCTACAGCCCGTATCTAGGCTCTTGGGGCAAAGTTATCGCGCTCAGTACTGGTCAAGCACTTCGAGCATTATGCGGTGTTGCCGCTGGTGCCAGCAAGGCAGCCCTGAGTGTGCACTTTGCCAGGCAAGATAATCTCGCTGAACTCAATGTAAAAGAGGCTAGCCAGGAGACAGCCGTGGGCTTGATCGGCCTGCTTGTGGGAACGTTGGTGGTGAAGGCGATTGAGGATCATTCAAGTGTTGTGCTCTTGATGATTCTCCTCGTCCTTGCCCATCTCGGTACAAACTATCTTGGCGTTCGCAGTGTCTGCATGGCCACACTCAACCGACAACGAGCGACGATCCTATTTGGCGAATACCTCAAGAGCGGCGTCGTTCTATCCTCCGAGCAGGTTGCAGAAAGAGAGAGCATCGTCTTCTGGAGCCCCATAATCCGCAATAACCGTGGGAACAAGGTAGTCCATCTCGAATTTGCCGAGAGCTACGGCCACGCCATGAGCTGCTCCGATTCCCATGACAAACTCATCATCGTTGATGGTCTCAAGCATACCCGGTTTATTTGCTCTCGCGTTCCTGGCCGTCTCACTCCGATCAAGATGCTCCTTTGGGAGGGTGCCCAGCCAATCGATGCCATACGCGCATGGTTTGCCGCAATGGAAATCGCATGGCTCATGGAAGATGGTGGTGTCTACACGCAGAAACTGGATGAGCTTTTCTGCGATGCTGGCGTCGAAGGCAATGGCAGAAAGTTTAGCATTGCCGGCAAGGACAGAGACAGCGAGTTTGTGCCACAGTTCAACAGCCCGAAGCTCTGGGACGAGTTGGTGCAGAAAGGGTGGAATCTTGAGATGCAGGCTTTGGAGACTACGGCTCCTGTTCGGCTGCAGATACGGAAGAGGCGAGCCAAGGATTTGTAGACGGGTAGATGGTCTGCTGCCCACAAATGAGGGATAGGATTTGCTGGCACTGCTGTACTATATACACCAGTAGAAGCATCATCGAAATGATGCTATGAATTGACGCAATAAATGACTAGAGAAACCACTCTTAGGATCGTACAGGAGATTTGTATTGTACAAGGAGCCCCCCTCCAGCTCTGTCTATCTTTATATGCATATTCCCACACAACACATCATTATCAGCCCAACAAAACGCCATTTTTCTATGCCACACGTAAATCATATTATACATTCATTTTTTCTCCATCTCTTTTCTCCTAAAGCTTCGCCCTCACGCCAATCCCGTCCACCTCATGACCCGCATCTTGACTCCCTCCAAGGTATTCAGCTTCGGCCTAACGTCGAGATAGAAGCTCGGTGCTCCAGCCGTGCCGCCGGGCCTTCCGGCGTAGAAATCAATGACATAGTCGACGCGGGTGCCGCAGCGGTCGATGACCCAGTCGTGCCGGTCAAAGGGCGCGGTGTAGCCGAGGATGGTGTTGATGCGGGCTGTTGGGGTCATGCGTGTGCTTTTGTTGGCGAAGGAGGAGAGTCTGGGGCCGTCGCATCTGTGATACTCTTCTATTAGTTATCATGCTTCATAGGATTATAGCTAGAGTATGGATGGAGAGGAAAGAGGAAGACGGAAACGCACTTTGAGTCGGTCAAGTAGGGAGCTTCCCACTCTTTAATATGCTGCCACGCGCGCTCATTGACGGCATTGTGGATAGGCACGACAGTCTTCATGTCCACCTCGCGCGCATCGTAGCCCTTGCGCTTCATCGCTTCAAAGAACATCTTCTCCGAGGGATAGACCCAGTTTCCCGAAGCGTCTGCGCCGGACTCAATCTCTGCATTCGAGGGATTCGCTGAAGCTCCGTGGTCGACGGGACATTCATCTGAGTTTGTAAAGGAGCGGGGGATGGTGGATGTTACGCGGGAGGTTTCGAGGTTTGATAACGTTGGCGAAGATGATGGCATCGCGGGGTGGTTTGCGGGGAGGTGATCTGTGGTGGGGGAGGGAGAGGACCAGATGTAGGAGGAGATTGTCTGTGTCCATGAGGAAGGCTTCTTGGCGGCGGAATGGTCGACGGGGCATTTGGATGCTTCGCTTTGCGTGGAAGATTGGGGTTGGGATTGCTTGGAGGCTTCGGCGGCGCGGGCGTGGGCGAGCCAGGCGTCGCGGGTTTTGTGGTCGACGGGACAGGCGTCTTCTGCCATGGCTGACGTTGATGATGGGAGTCTAAATAGGAGGAGGTGATTGGATTGCGATTCGGCTTAGGTTGAGGTTATGAAACGAGCGAAATGTGGTTGTGAGGGTAGCTGGGAGTTGGTTGGAGTGCAGATTAATAATTTTTTGATAGCGGCGCAAAAGAGTATCGCAACTTTGCGATTGCGAAATCTTGGTTTTTGGGCCGAGAATTTGCCGGACTAATATGGACAACTGGGAATAGGACCAATTACTTCCTGGGGATTACCACTAAATAATATGGATAAAAATTTACATCAATGTAATTGGATATTATCCTAGTTCGATAGTTAAATTCATGCATGGTGGGAGAGCTATAAGTGAAGACATCACAGTCTGATGTCATTCTCATCATATCCTACCTACAAGCCAAGCCAGACTATAAATGCTGCAAGCACCAAATGCTCATCAACATATCACTTCTATTACAAAATTCATTTTGAGAAAGGATCTCGATTTCGAGTTTGTATCTGCTGTGATCAGACTTTCTGGCCCACATTTTTTCTCCATCGTGCGGTGTCATGAAATCATATACCGTTGCTCTGAGGTCATCGAGAAGCCATCGTCTAAGCACATATGGATAGGTACTGTATAAATACTGCCATCTTCAACGATTCAATCATGTCCTCAATTCTCACAACTCCCAAGCTTTTCAAACTTGACAAATTTCACTAAAAGACTTTACACATATCAAAATGTCCAACTACGAAGAGATTTCGCGCCGCGCTGAGGCTGATCTCAACACATACCAGGCCAAGACTGGCAATGCTCGTCGACAGGCTGATGATGACGCTGGTGTCAACTCTTATGTGGAAAAGAAATTTGATTCAGCCAATGTCACTTATGGAGATGACTTGAGCACAAACAGAGGCTACAACAAACGTATTCCTCCTGGTGAGGGAGGAGATGTTGATGCTCGTGGAAGGTGAGTCCTTATCGACCCATATAGTCACGTCAGTACTAGAGAATGCGCATTTACTGAGGCACTTCAACAGACAAGCTACCGGAAATCAGTATGAAGGTCAAGGAGGACCTGGTGACAAGATTTCCGAGTCATATCGCCAACAGGGCGGCCAAAACGACGCCGATGTTGTAGGCGCGAATACCGAACGGAACGTGGGAAACAGCGGTGACATTGCCGCTCAGGGCCAAGCTGCATCCAGGGCAAACGTAGGAAGAAATCCGCCGGGGGTTGGAGGATCAAAGTACAAGGGAAGCGATTATTATACGCCTGAGAGTGTGACGGATAGCATCTCTGCAGAGGGCTGGATTGCGCCTGAGAGTGTGACGCAGGCGAGTCGGGAGACGGAAGGATACACGTCGAGAATCCACGAAGACGAATAGGTAGTTTATGTGTCTGCTGAGAGGCAAAAATTGTAAGTTAGGAATAAGATGGTATAATAGTTTGTGATTTTAAGGTAAGAAATGGATGGCACATGTGATAGGCCTTTCATGTGCTTCTAAGAGAAGTGGCTGCGTCATAGCGCTCTAGCACTCCTTATCGCGACCGTTATCTACTCCGTACAGTGCTCCGTATGGCCTCCAACCTCGACCTCGCGTGACCCATTTCAGCTGCTCTTCCATCAACATCCTCCAAGCTTGCTCAGTGCAAAGCTCTTTCAACACAACAATGCTCTTCTCTTAGTGACGGTCTTTCAATCAACTCAAACATAGAATGTCAAGCCGCTCCCCGTCCGCGTCCGGGCTTCTCCCTATGCCCGGCGCTCCGTCGTCCTCCTGGGCCGTCTACAGCGCCAGGCTGAAGAGCTTGGTGAAGCATCCCAACATGAGGGTCATCGTCGCCTTTTGGTTACTTGGTGCGCATCCTGTCAAACTCTGGGCTTTTATAATGATATACAGCTAACCGTTACCTTCCTTGATAGGTCTCATCAACAATGTGCTCTACGTAATCATCCTCTCGGCCGCGCAAGACCTCGTCGGATCGCTCCCGAAAGGCGTCGTCCTCCTAGCCGACGTCGTTCCCTCGTTCTTCACCAAGCTCATTGCTCCATATTTTATTCATCGCATACCATACCCGATACGAGTCCTCATCTTCATCGCGCTATCTGCGGGCGGCATGCTGATGATTGCTATCACACCTCCGTCCAAGTCGGTGCCAGTGAAGATGGTGGGAGTAATCTTGGCCAGCTTGGCCAGCGGTGGAGGCGAGCTCAGTTTCCTGGGACTGACGCATTACTACGGGCATGTGAGCTTGGCCGGTTGGGGATCTGGCACTGGCGCAGCCGGTCTAGTCGGAGCAGGATTATATGTGCTGTTGACCGATTGGTGGGGGTTTACTGTCCAGCAGAGCTTGCTGTTCTCGGCTTGTCTCCCTGCCATCATGTTCATCAGTTTCTTCTTCGTCCTTCCCTTAGACCCGCTGCGTCAAGGCAGCGCTTTGAAGGAATATGATGCTGTTCCGGAAAGAGACGTAGAGGACGAAGATGCAGGCCAGACGGAGCAGGAGATTGCAGCTAGCACTTCTGCTCTGCTTGTGCCTGAGCCGTCTGTCCTATCAGCAAACACTGCATATGCCATGACCCGGGGCGAGACGAATTCTCTACCCAACAACTTGCGGAGAGCCAAGGCGCTCTTTATACCGTACATGGCTCCCTTGCTGCTGGTATACATTGCCGAGTATACCATCAACCAAGGTGTCGCGCCAACGCTGCTCTTCCCACTCGAATCGTCGCCATTCAAGGAGTTTCGTGAATTCTACCCATTCTATGGGTTCCTATACCAAGTCGGCGTCTTCATCTCGCGATCGTCCACATCCTTTTTCCGTGTCCACTACTTATACCTCCCATCCCTTCTCCAAGTCGGAAACCTAATTCTTCTAACGCTGCATGCTATGTTCTTCTTCATTCCCTCCGTCTACATAGTATTCATCATCATCTTTTGGGAGGGCCTGCTGGGCGGCGCTGTATATGTGAACTGCTTCGCCGAAATCATGGAAAACGTGCCGGCCGAGGAGCGCGAGTTTAGTCTTAGCGCTACAACGGTAAGTGACAGCGGAGGTATTTGCATTGCGGGCTTGATCAGCATCGTGATGGAGACGAGCCTCTGCGATTACCAAGTTGCGCATGGGCGCGATTGGTGCCAGAGGGTGACAGTTTCACATGGCCGAGGATTATAGAGACAAACAATTGTCAGAGTTGACATCAAAGAGAGTAGCGTGAATGGTTTAGTGGTAAAATTCTCCGTTGCCATCCGAGCAACGTCGGGGAGCCCTGGGTTCGATTCCCAGTTCACGCATCTGATTTTCTTTTTTTCTCCTTTTGCAATTTTATTCAGTATTCAGCTGATAGGAAGAAAACGTTTCGTAAATGAGAACATGGTTGCCGAATGCAGCAATTGATCAAGTGTCGCAACTTGTTCCTTTTTCTGTTCTCTATCAAGGCCCCAGCGGGCTGAGATATACTCGAAGCTAGCGAGGAGACTTACTGGATGCAATTGTGGCGAGCCCCAAAGTTTTCCTATTTCGGGATGTAGATGCGGTTTTGTCTATATTTATCAGGTATTAGAGTTTTCCAACATCATCCGTACTTTATTTCTCGCTCTCGCCATAGTTGTGTGCTTAATCGTGTGATAATTGTACGTCTCCTGTAATCTCTCTTCCAAGACTCTTGCATTAGATGCGGTTACGCGGCACGGCGCCGATGCCCGATGCAGCCAGGAGAGGGAGCCGATTTGGGAGACGCGGGGCGGGAGGCAATTCAATACGAGAACTACGATCGATCGTGCAGAATACATCTGTAATAGTACTCGTATTAATAGTATATTAGGTACTGATTGATTACCAGCTTGTGACGATGCCACGGCAGTTGCTCGTATTGATTCTTTGCATCTTCTTTATTCCCGTAGCGTCTTTTACTCACAGACCACGACATCCACTATTAAATGTGCAGTAAGACGAAGAGGAAGAGCAAAATCCAAGCTGAAACAATAACACCCACGCTTAACATCTTACTCATCAAATAAAGCAACCTAGCGCCAATCCTCCAAAAGTACAGCAAAAAAGACTATTGGATTGCATCCGTTTTATTTGTTCTCCCCTGCTTAGCCCCTCCAAACCGCCTCCATCAGTTGGCCAGAACCGGGTCAAACCCAGGCCAAACTAAAAAGCTAGTCGCGCTCGTACTGCACCGAGATTCGATTTTCCCCCGTCAACGCCAAGCCCCCGAGTCTGGCACTGCCTTGCTAGCGACCGGCATCGTGTCCTGTTAGCAGATACCCGGCGATGGCGCTGGGGGTACGTACCTGATAACATAACCGTGGTCTCCAGTTTCTTTTCTGCCCCTTTTTCCGTTCCGCCAATCCAATATTGTGCCTCTTTTCTGCAGTCTGTCTCTGTCTGTCCAGTCTCTTGTCTCTCTCTTGTCCGTGCTTCGCCACAACGCGCCGCTACGCCAAGCCAATCTTGGGGCTTCTTTTTGCCGGTTTGTCGCCAGCTCTTTATCCTTCTTTTTCTTCTTCATTTTCCTGCTTCTTGTCTTTTCTTGTTTGAGTTGCGCCTTCACCTCTTCTCTCCTTTTCTTCTATACTGTAATCCCCGTGTTTCGGTGGGCACGCGGATCATCGTTCGCTAGGATCCACTCCCTCTCATTCCTCCCTCTGCCCTCTTTTTTTTCCCTCTTGCGCATACTACAAACAAGGGCTTTGTCCTCTTTATCCGCATTCCATCGGCGGAGTATGCAGCGATAATGTTTGTCGGTGGTGTTCGATCTTCAAAGCTGTCGGCCTTATTGGCCGGCGCCATCATCTTCATCATTGTCTTTGCCGGCCTCGTCTACAACCAGCTGGACTCGGCTGAATTGCCCAACAGGTACGTGATGTGGTGACAGATCGCATCGTGGTCCTTGTCGAAGTTAGCGTAACGGTATGGCTAACGCAACTTGCGCTTCTAGGACGCAGCCAAACACAAATTCCGGCTCGGTGCCTCCGCCATCCGAACCAGTCAAGCCCGTCGAGCCAGTGAAGCCTGTCGAGCCCGTCAAGCCCGTTGAGCCTGTCAAGCCTGACACCAGCTTCCGCGATGTCTGGTTCGAGGTCCACAAGCCTTCCATCAAGCCCAACTCCAGCTTCTACCAGCCCTATGGCGCCTTCAAGTTCGACCTCAAGCACGACATTCATTTCCCGGAGCCCCTCGGCGAAGATCTCTGCATCATCGACCTCGACAACCGCCCCTTTGATGCGCCTCACCAGATCTTTGGACCTGATGTCATGAGCTGGGAGAAGAACCCCGAAAAGGTTCACGGTCTGTCTGTCGGCGTGCTCAACCACTGGCTTTATGGTACGCTACCCCAATTCCACTCTCGCAGCATCATTGGTAGCCCAACTAACGTGACCACGTGCAGCCAAGATCCACGGCTACAAGTACTACTTTGTCGCCATTGAGAAGCCCGAGGATCGCCGCGCATCTTGGAAGAAGGCCCCCGTCATCTCCACCATCCTCAAGCAGCACAAGGTTTGCTTGTATCTCGACTCCGACGCCATCTTCCAGAACCTCGACCTCCCCTTCGAGTGGCTTCTGAACTACTGGGACCTCGACCCCCGCAACAACTCCCTCGCCCTGGCCGTCGACCCCAACCGCGAGTACAACAAGGACAAGTTTGGCAAGCTCATGCTCAACACTGGCTTCATTGTCGCACAAAACAACGCCAAGACCTATGAGATCATGGACGCCTGGGCAGGATGCCCCGAGGAGAACGGCAAGCACCCCGAATGCGTCGAGTTCCGCACCAACTCGCCCGGCCGACCTACCGACCAGGGCGGTTTCGGCACCTTTATTCGATACGATTTCCCCGAAGACATCAGGCAGCTCGCTTGTACCGACGCCAACGGTTTCCCTAATAGCGATTCCGAGTGTGAGGGTCGCTTCATCCGCCATTTGTGGACCGGAAAGGACAGCTGGATCAAAGTCTTTGTCGGCCAGCAGGTCCCTGGAGGCTATCTCGAACTGTTCCACAAGGAGTTCTTGGACGAAAAGTCCGACTTTTACATTACTGAGAAGGACCTCATGGCCAAGTACCCCCCCAAGGAGGAGACTCGGGATCCTACCCCAGAGCAGACTCAGGAGGAGTCTCAGGAGAAATCCGAGAGCCAATCTGAGGAGAAGCCATGAACAAGAGACCGCCTTGATCCTAAATGATCCTCTTTATTCATTGCCACGACAGGATTAAGAAATAACATCTACACCGGCATATAACAAGCACTATTTAATACGGCCATTTTTTCTTTTCGCTCGGCCATCTGCGAACCGTGTTCCTTGGCTTCTTGACTGTCTTTTTATATATATACGAACATGTAGGCGTGGCAGGCACAAGAAAAAGGCTCGACATTGTTTTTGTTTTGGGAAACGGGAACTCGGTGCAGGAAGCACGATTTGTATACATAATCACGGGGCTTTTGTTTGGTTTTTTATTTTGTCAAGCTTTCTACGAGGCGTCGAAAGACACGAGAGCGAAAGCGAATCCGCGGGAGGGAGCCAAGGTTGCATCATAACTGAGTGAATTAGCGGCAGCTGGTCAACACGCTGCCAAGTAATATTTACGACGAATTGATGACATATCGTTTATTAGCTGTGTGCGTAGATGCCGAGGCCTGCAGCCAAGATTCGTGGACGGATTTGATACCGAGGTGATTTTGCTTTATTTGTAAGGAAGATTTCGTAACATGGAGGTTTGCTTGTTGAAGTTCCGTGCCGTGAGGTTTATACAGATTGGAGTTTGGGTATTGATACTATGTATGTTTTCTGGATTTGGCTGGAAAAGTTGACTGTCGTGGGATGGAGACGGGGGATGGAATGTGACGATGTCTGTCAGGCTAGCGTTGTGAGGTCGAAGTACAAAGAGAACGACAATATTCGTTTTCAGCAATGATGTTCCTCTAGAAATTATATCATATTTTAAACTTAGATCGATTCACCGCCAAGATCAACGTTGCCTCACATGATGTGCTGCTGCCCTCCGCCAATGTTTGTATGTTGAATGCCGGGTAGCTGGGCCGGCCACATGACTTGATCAAACAGCTTCAAGCAATGCCTTAAACGTCATTTGTAACCTACGAGAACAACGCACAGAAAAATAAAATAAAATAGCAACTACAATGTTTGTATCACAGTGTTGTACCAGTCCCTCTCATCATATCATTCCATCTCCATCATCTAAAAACGTACTTTGGTTTCATAAAGTGCCGTCACAACATGATACACACACACCAAAGCAGATCAAGGGGGGGAGAAAGAGAAAATTTACCCGGCAAAGCTGACCGCCCTTGAAAAACGGTGTCGATACTTGGGTAACGGTTATTCTGCGAGGGCCCGGTTTCTGTGTGACGGCGTGTTTTGGGGGGAACAGGAGGCGCATGTGGCTGTTGTTTATTGAAGACGCGCAGGGTTTGGTTAGGGCTTGGTGTTACGGATTTTGATTCATCATGATGAGGTTTTATTACCATACGAAGAGGGGGGCCAAAGAATGAGAATGAGAGTTGAAAAAGTCTAGATATTATTGTAAAAGCTTGGTCTATGTTGGACTTTACAGCATCCTTATCCTCATGCGAAGATGTCTCTTTCCCCTTTTGCTATTCCCACGTACACGCAATACCTCCCTAAACGACCATAATCTCAGAAACACACCATTAATATCCGCTCGTCTCTTCATCGTAGCTCTATTCCCCATCATCCCTCTCAACACCCCTGCGTTCCGCGCCTCCATCACATCCGCCTTGCCTCCTTCGGCACAGTTTGCCGCTGCCTCCATGTTGCATGATTCGCAGGGCAAGTGCGTGTAGACCTCGTCGTCTGCGCGCTCGTAGCAGCCGCTGCGGCAGGACAATCCGTGCCGGTGGATCCGCCAGCGGGAGAGGGAGCCGTTCCAGCAGGGGACGCGGTTGCAGCGGCGGTTGAATGTGAGGAAGCAGGATGAGCAGCGGTTCCAGGACCGGAAGTGGACGCACATGGCGGCGGTGGTGATTTGTGATTTGTGAATTTGTATATGTTTGGTGATAGTTGGTGATTTGGTGGTTGGGGTCGCAGTGTTGAGGTTGATACGCGCAGATGAAGTAGAGTAGCAAGAAGAGGTAGCTGGATATTTTTTCATTCATGAGATAGCTTCTTGACTTGGAAAAGAAAAGAAAAGAGGACTTTGTTGCAGGCTGCATCAACAGGAGAAGCGAGATGCAAAGGAGGCTCCTCGTCTGTATTTGAGTTCAAACCGAACCAAAAAAACAAGGCGGCCTCTCTGTAGGTATGACAAAACCAGTCTGGTTCGATAGAGACGGAGGATAATGAAGTGAATCGAAATTTTTTGCATGGTTCATGGATGGAGCTTGGAACGTGCCCTTTGCGAAAAATGTTTGCTTCGTAGAATTGCCTTTTATAGATGGCTTTGTGAGAGGTGAGGTCTTGGTGTACCCATGGAAGAAGACGCAGAAGATGCTTTTTTAGAATTCCCGATGACCTGGAACTAAAAGAGGTGCGTGCTTGTTCCTTTTTATAGATTGATTTGTGTAAGTCGGAAGAGGTCCGCTGTAGCTCTAACTGGGCAGTGCTTCATCGTGGCCTTTGTGAACAAAACTCTTCTTCGTTGGGTTGATTTGGTGTATGTGTACATGACACTTGCTCGCATCCCCCTGGGACATATCATCTCACAGTCAAGCCCCCCCATCAGAGGGTCACACCAAACATGTAACTTGGGATGCAATATCCACGGTAACACGAGTGACAGCTCATCCAACGGGCAGTGCAAAAGATTGGCGGTGTCGTTTCGTCGCTTACCAGCTCACAAGGACGTCCATACGATTTTCTCTCTCTCGCTCAGCATTCCAAATCTGCCCACACGACCATGTTTTCCGGCGGGTCGGGCATCTCGTTGAAGAACTTTGCGATTTCGGCGTCATCGTACCGCATACTGAAATGCGTCAGGACAAAGGTCGTCTTTGGCCACTTCCGTATGACTTTTTCTAGATCCCTCCACGAGGTGTGCTTGGTCTTTATGCCCTGTGCTTCGTGCTCTTCATAGAGGAAGCTGCACTCTGTGATGACGACGGGAATACCCTCTTTGAGCCATGATGGATCAGCAGCGAGAGTCTGGGCTGTCGTATCGCCTAGGAAGGCAAATATAGGCGTGGTATGAGGAGCCGTGAGCTCGGTGCCGGCCTTGCGCAGTGCTTGAAGCTCAGAACCCGGCAAAGAGGCGAACTCAGGCTTGAGACGCTGCGTGGTTTTGCTAAAGACGTAGCCCAGGCAGGGAACTTGGTGGTCACAGTGAAAAGCCGTAGCCGTGATGCCCTGAGTGCGGCGCAGAGGCACAACATCGCCGGGCTTTAACCCGTGGGTAAAGTGCGTGTTGAGAAAAGCCGTAGAAGACGGAGTCCGGCCCAATTCCTCGCTCCTCGCAACTATTCGGTCGTCTATGGGAAGACCCCGGATATCTGCGTCTTCAGGCCCGATTTCACCTCCAAGATTGAGTATCGTCTTGGCGAGGACAAAATTGTCAAATGCAGTCCTCATCTCAATGGGACAGAAAATATCCGGCGGATCATCGCGCTTCACAAATGCCGGCGCTAATAGCGTGTGGTCGCTGTGGCCGTGCGTCAAGAAGATGTGCTTGGGACGCTGATTGTTGACGACGAGGCCGGCATCTAGTAGAAGATTGAGCGAGGGAATCACAAAGGATGTGTGCCAGGCAGCTCGAGACCGGCCTGTGAGGACGAGCTGGCTGTGCGGCTTGGGGAATTTCCACTCGAGCACGTCGGATCGAGGGGATTGCGGGAGAGGAGCGGCGAACCGCGGTTTTGGCCGGTTAGCCATTGAAAGGCTGATGAAGAGTGTCTGCTTTTATGTAGGGCGTTTATCATGTAGCGGTGATGATGAGAGCTGTATCTGGTGGTGATGTTGCTGAATTCAAGTCTGAGGTTGAAAAGCTAGCTAGTAGTATCTTATGGTGGATAATTCTAGCACCGTTCATCAGCCTACGAGGAGCAGCGTTTCCTTCTTCTAAAATGCACATCTTCGCTGTCTATTCAAGATAATATATAGTCCAGAAATATCTACTCCTCGCCCACAATACTTTTTTTTTCTCTTGGCCGTGATGGTCATATGTTTTGATGGCTTGCTAGGCGCTGAACGTTGAATCCCCGGCATGACTCAACCGCCGCTCCGGCGAATGAGTGCATGTGGGTAAACGGCTTGAAATGCTGCGAAACACAACCTCACACTTCATTAATTATTATAAAGAAGCAGGGATAGCTTAGATAAGGAAAATTTGGAAAAGTATAAATTAGAGTATAGTTCAAACGCCTTGGTTACGGCAAGGCTACGGGTACTTGTTCAGACGTATGGAAAGACGCCGATCGAATAGTGGCTGAACTATGTGTCGGCCTGTTCTGTTCGCAATGCATAGATAGGTCCTTGTAGATAGAGGTCTAATTAATGAGGACAAGACTCAGATTGGTATCATTTTAGGATGCCTTATTTTCGGCTACAAGTGATAATATGCCTCTTCGAGCAAGGTAAGCGATGATATGATCATTGAGCCGTGTGAGATATATGAATATGTTGTGACGCGAATAGGAAAATAGTCCGGCCAAATTGGAAGAACCCGGTGTGTTTCTTACGAATGATAAATGTGGCAATTGAGAACACAGCTCGATAACTAAAATGAACAGATACCAAGATTATCGGTAATTAGGTGTTCTATAATAGAGCGAAAAGGTGTACCACTGCGTTAATAAAACCAAGAAGATCTGCCGATTCTAACTGCCTAGCTAGCACTGCCTTTTACAATACCCTGCCCAACTCGGCCACTCAGATGGCCCTTGGGATCACAGTGACATATTAGGCTGTGAGAGAATGTGTCTAGGCACCAGTATTTAATTATTCTTTTATTCCTTCGTGCAATTCGACAATTTCGCTCAATTTTTAGATCTCTCGACGCAGATAAAGCCCAAAGCTATGGATAGGATGTTTAACCGCAAAAGGCCCAAGGATAAGAATGCAAAGTCCAAATCAAGGCTCTCCATGTTTGGCAGAAAAAAAGACAGAGCTGATCAGCAAGCCCACGACAATGGAGGCACACCAGAACCCAGTCCCTTGATCAGTAAGATTGGAGGTTTTGATATGCCTCTTACTAGATCCAAATAACTTATATATTGCATCAGATTCTGCTTTTCCAAATCCTAATCCTATCGGGTCCTCCAATGCTCCAGCGCAGCCCTCAACATCTGACACGTCCTCATTGAGTCCTGATGACGAATACCAAAATACGCCAATAGTCGAATTGTGGAACTCAGCATACGAGAAGCTACGCAAGGATAATAAACAACTAATCGACGAATATGAGACCAAACTCCAAAATAGCTCGGATGCCGCATTGGATCCTGTACCAGATACCAAAGAAGATAGACAAAATTGGATGGGCCGGCTATTGCACCAAAAGATGGAGCAGGTCCAGAAAGATGCCTGGAAGTTTATGTTTCTGGGCTCTGAGATTCGGCCAGCTGAGACGGTTGGATCTGTTCTGAGAGTCATTAAGATGGCCAACGACTCGATTACAGCCACTGTTGTTCCAAACCCTTATGCTTCGCTTGCCTGCGTTGGTATAAGCGTGCTGTTGTCAGTGCGTAAAATTCTATGCGCCATAAGCATCTTTATGAGAGTTACTAACCGACTTCAGATTTGTTTAACGCCTGGCAATCAAGCGGTGTCTCTCGCAAACGAGTTCAAATACGTCTTATCACTTATTATTCAGGGCCGTATGAGAGAAGATCTCTATCAGCGGCGATACGAAGGTCAGAACAAAGTCGATGAACCATTCTAGAGGCACATTCAAAATATAAGTCCGCGCTAGAGAACTTATACCAGCAGATACTGAGATTCCAGATACATTGCTATTGCTATTATACTCAAAGCAAAGCCTCTCGTCTTGTTAGCGACTTCTCTCAGAAGAATGACTGGAACGGTTTAGTTGAAGACATACGTCGGCAAGAAACCCAAATGGCCGCCATCGATAAGATTTGGCGCGATCAACGATATGATGACGAATCTGCTGCATCTGAGAGACGGTATCAAGGGACTATACTTAACTTGAAAACTATTGGCGCTGATATCTCAAGTCTGCGAGAGGCAGTGGAGGACGCCAATCGGGACCGAAACCAGCAAGAATTGCTCGACTGGTTATGCGACATAGATCCATCGGACATGTATAACGCCGCTTGCAAAAGACATAAGGCTGGGACGAGTGAATGGCTGGTTAAAGAGAATGCAGAATTTGCATCTTGGGTACAAAGCCCTTCTTCTTTTTTATGGCTTTATGGGAAGGGTAAGTTTAAATTCCTCGTTTTCCTCGTTTAACTTGATATTTACTTTGTTTTTATTGCGCAATACCGAGATTGGCCGTCTGACAATTATTAGCTGGATGTGGCAAATCAGTGCTAAGCTCCTCTGTTATACATCATCTCCAAAGGGAGTTTAAAGACGACGCCTCTACCGCAGTTGTCTATTTCTATTTTACCTTTAGCGATACTACAAGGCAAGAAAGCGACGGGATGCTAGCGTCCCTTATCAAGCAAGTCTGCTGTCACCGACCGAACATACCCGATTCAGTCAATGATTTGGGTGAATATAAGAAAAAGGGCATGCGGCCGTCGACAGAGGAGCTCCAGAATAGCTTCATATCAACCCTTCGTGGATTTACTAACGTATATATCATCATCGATGCTCTGGATGAATGTCCAAATATTAATACGCAGCGAGAAGAACTCCTCGAAATATTGCATTATATCCTCGATTCTAACCTCAACAATCTTCATATGTTCTGTACTAGTCGCAAGGAGTCTGACATCGATGTCTCGCTCCGTGACCAATTTTCTAAGCCGGGTAGAGAACCTCTTGATATAACCTCTCACTTGAAAGAGATCGAACGCGATATTGGCGAATATATAGACTCAACTCTAACAAACGCCAAATATAGCTCTTGGCCAATCCTTATCAAGGCTGAGGTTAGAAAAGTTCTGATTGAAAAGTCAGATGGGATGTATGTCTTCTATTGAGCGAGTATAACAACGCCAGCGCTAATAACAGGGAAGGTTTCAGTATATTCGCTGCCAGTTTGAAGCTCTACACAATCTTAGGTCTCCTAGAGATATTCGTCGAGCATTAGAGGATCTTCCCAAAGGACTGGATGAAACATACGATAGAATGCTTCAGGGCATAGACGATCGTTATAAGAAATCAGTGGCGAACTCTCTCAAATGGCTCGCGTTCTCGATGCAACCATTGACGGTAGATGAGTTAGCTGAGATCTTTATCATGCATCCAGATGATGCTGTTGTTATCGACAGTACGGAGCGCCTTTTTACTACACGGGACGTGTTAATGTATTTCTCTGGCCTCATCGTCGAGAATCGGGAGACCGTTCGCTTGGCTCACTTTTCGATTAAAGAATATTTGGTATCTA